AGCGAAAATAACAACAACAACAACAACAGCGAGGTCATATAAATAACAATGTTGCCACTGAATATGAAAGGGGGAGGGGGAAACTAGGGGGGTTCGAAGGGGGGCGTTGGGTGTCTAAAAATGGGAAAATGAAAATTGTTTACGCTGCCCACGGAGTTCTTTTGCCGGCAGCATAAGACCCTAACTTATTAAATTATTGTTTCGACCATAATTTCAACGACACTAAAATTAAAAAACCATTACCAAGAGCTAAAGAGCATTCTTTGGCAGCAGCAAAAAAAAAAAAGGCAATACCGCCAAGTGGCGGGCGAACCACCCTCACTTTCCGTGGCAGGAAAATATATTTCCGCTTAATTTATTAACGATTTTTGTAAGCCATAAACTTTTCATGTGTGCGTGTGTGTATGTGTGTGAGTGGTTGCCCTCTGCCCTCCACTAAGTGATTTTTATCTTCGGCGGAGCAAACGCCCCCACTTTGTTTCTTTTTTTTACGATTTGCACATAATTATAATTGAAATTGCGACGAAGCCGTGAGAGTCAACGACTTCCATTCGAGAGCCAATAAATAATAGAATCAAGTCATAAACTGATAAATGATGTGCCTCCATCGGATGGCAAGGATGAGGATGAGTGGGCGAATGGATGTCTCCCTTGAGTTCACCCAGTTTTTCGTTCGTAATAAACAAAGTTAATCATTTAGGATAATTGAAATTTTTACGAGACACTCAAAGTTATATTTTGCCTCTTTCTTTTTTGGCCATTTTGGCAGGTAGCTTAGAGCCAGCAGCCTCATTAGTCTGCCAGCTTGATTTTTGCGAGGAGTTGGGGTTTTTGGGGGCTCGATGGCTAAGTGTTATGTACTTATCGATGCAAGCTGTTGATTGGCATTATGGCCACACGCTCAAAAGAACAATGGCCGATGAGGACGGGATGAAAATACATAAATAAAGGCGAACACGTGGACCATCAAAACGCCTGAAAGTATGCAACAAATGGCGAGTCAGCAAATAAAGGACAAAGGCCTTGGTTTCTGTGGCGATGAAAGGAGTTTTCTGAGCAGGTGGATTTAAGATTTAACTCCGACTGGGATAAAAAAATTCAGCATTTAATAATTTAAATCTACTAAAGAAGCATATTTGTTGATAATTATCTTAAATTAGTGTAGGAAAAAAGTTAAAAAAGTTTGATATTGCTAGAAGCAACAGTTTAAAGAAGTTTCTAACAATAGGCAACAATTTCATAAGTTTAAAAGTAAAGCTGTTGGTGTTACAAAATTAGATCTAACATTAATTCATTCGTGCAAAATACATGTATGTACCTATATAAATAAAATAAATTTCTTAAATTCCATTAGCCAATAATTCAATTTCCCATCAATGTTCGCCCTTAAAAGGTAGTTCGTTAACCAGCTCCCTTCCACTCGATTCGGTTAGAGCATCTGTTTTCGGACCACATTTGCTGTCTGCCAGCCAAACAACACACATTCCGCCCGAAAAAAACTTGCTGGCAAAATACATTAAAATTAAATATTAAATTTAAGTGCATCATAAACGCAAAACAATGAACCCATCAGACAGTCGAGTGAGACACCCATCAAGAGTGCGAGTGAGATGGGTTGGGAATTTACCTGGGCACAAAGTGTCGACGCCTCAATTTTCATCACAGCGAAATAAGAGAAAAAGCGGAAGAAATCCGAGCCCCATCCCAGCCCCACAAAAAGAATGGGAGCCGAACGTAAACCAACTGACAATATGTTAAACCGAAATGGTGGCACAGAGTGACGAGGCGGGATGGCTTGGATTAAGCTGCACCAAAGAAAAAATTCGAGAATGGCTAGTGCACTTTGAAATCCAATTGATGTTTTAGGGATTTTGTTCTTAACATTTTTTTTTAATTTATTTCATATTGCATACAATTTAAATAACACTAACTTGTTGCCTTATATTTTTGAATTTAACGAAAATTCTTTTTATGCAAGGCCGAAAAATTCATGAAATGATATTAATAATTATTATATTTCCAAGCTTTTACAAATCTGTCAAAATCATGTGACTGTAAAATATTTAAATAGTCATAGTAACTTGGGAACACTGGTTTTATAAAATCGTCTATGTTTAGCATAAAATAAATCATCATGCCACAAACTCAGAAATATAAAATAATTATTTGCAAGTTTAGGCAATCATGAGTTTGAGAAGATTACAAAGTGAAAATCAATATTTATTTATCTAAACAAAGGCAACCCCTAAAAATAATAATTTGAGAAGCGTTTCTACTTTTCATCCCGTTTCTGCGAGTGTAGTCGCATTGTTACTGGCACTACTGCACTTGTCGATATCGACGTCAAAGTCTCGTAATGCCGGCACTCGCACTTGTCAGCCTAAAAGATGACAGTGATGGCGATGTGTTATTCCTGCCACGGTGTGGTTGCGGGAGCGAAAGGACGCGAGGTCCTGCCGGGTTAACACATATTACGGCCCTTGCGTATTGATGTCGATCAAACCAATATACCAGTGCCTCTTTGTGTGTTTGTGTGTGTGTGTGTATGTGAGTGTGTGAGAGTGTTTCTGCATATGTATGCCACCATATTCGCGTATGTGTGCGACTGTATCCAACGCAATTGAGGTCATGTCCATGCGGCATTCATTGTCGACATCGGCGATGGCGACGTATATGCCAAAGCATTAACTTGGCATTTGTTTCAAGCTGCTCCGAGGCAAGTCCGAGAAGAGCGACAGGGGTTCAGGGGTTGAAGGGGGTTAGGTGGGGAATGGGAAAGGAGAAGGTGGTTGGTGGAGGGGTTTTTGGGGTACTGGCGGGTGGACAGATAGCGCAAGTTCGGCCCGAGAGTTGCGACATATTGAAAATCATTGCAAACACACTCACACACACCAAGAGGAATGCCAAAAAAAGAATGCAAAAAAAAAAAAGGAAGCAGGAACAATGTATTGAAAGACAAACGGCATTGGCATCAATTTTTATTTGCCTGCACGGTCCTGTGACTGTATGTGTGTGTAAGTGTGTGTATAAGTGTGTGTTGGCCGGAGGAGAAAAAATTTTTATTACATTGAAAATTTGCATAAAATATTTAAGCCAAATGGTCGGTCGATTGTACGGGTAGGAAATGTGGAGAGAAAAAAATAACTTTCATGATGCGATGGCAGCACCGCCTCCATTTTCTTAGGCCTCCAAAAGCTGATGGGATTTGTTGTCTGAAGATTTGACAGGCCCTCAGGGCTGCGAAATGGTAACCGACAGTTGCGGTTTCGATATGTAAAATAACCCATAATGGAAATATGTTTTCCCTTAAAGTGGACCAGCAGTTTGCAAAAGCTGCGAGAATATTTAAATGCTACAATACTGATATAAAAAAAATACTTAACGTTTTAAGCATATCGAGGAATTTCTTGTTACTTTTGACCAAAAATGATGATTATCAATTAAGTACGTTTCAGTACACTTGATTATTAGCAAAAAAACATTTGAAAAACAATGTCATGAGTGATTCACCGATGACTGATTGCTAAACATCTTAAATTCCGACTTAAAACCCATAAACTGTTTCACATTGCATTATACTCTTTTAGTTTTTCTTCACCATTCTTTAAGAGCATCTCCCCGAAAAACTTAAAACTACTTGAAAAAATTTAAATATTAGAGAGAGATAGCACTACATCTCTATCGCGATAAATGGACCAAAAGAGAGAGTGGGACAACGGCGATGTAGAGAAAACTTCAAGGATTCGCTGCACGTTCGCATCTTTAACGCCATATGTTGACTTTTGCTACAATTTTCATGCTAACCCACAAGAAGTGGGGCATGGGGTGGGCCATATCCTTTATCTTATATACGCTATTTTATGCCTGCACCACACCACGCCGACTCCACTCGAATTGATGTTGTTGTTTCTCGCCTCTTTCGCCAATAGATTGTGCCACCACACTTTGGCATTTTATAACATAAACTTTCATTTGTTTTCTTTCGGTTTTCTTGCTGTTTTTATTTTTTTTATATATTTTTTTTGGTTGTCGCCTCCCATTGTTGTTGTTAGTGCTTGTAATGCGCTCATGTAGTTTCCCCCCTCTGTTCCACCCACCTCATCCCATTTTCAGTTTGGGGCGCATATGTTAAGCCCCGAATACATAGAAACGAGTCTGATGTCTTGACATCTGTCTACCGGGCCCCTACCATTCCCCCAACCATCCATTTTTTTTTTCGCTTTGACAATCGTCCAAAAATGTAGATTTGCATGCACATCAGCAATGGGCATACATTTATCTCGCCCACTGTTGACGACGCCGACCGCCAGTTGTTGGCCCCTTAATACGTTAGGATAATGGATACTAAAAGAAAAAAACACAAAATTCAAGCAAGTGAAACCAAAGGCTTGGTTTTTTTTTAATAATATCTAGTATACTCAACTGTTTTTTTTTTCAGAATTATATATATTAAACCCCCAAAGGCATACAAAGGAATTTTTGTAATAAAAACCAGTTAATTTATTTGAAATGGAAAAATATACAGAGCGAACTGAGCACGCATTGATCCAAGGGGATAGGCGAATTGATTGATTCGAGTAAGTGCAACAGTTTATTTGCATATTTTGCAGAACTTTATTGCACAACGGTAAACAGAACTGAATTACTGCAAAAACATGCAAAATATTTAAATTGCCCAAATATCCCTTAGCCGAGCGCATAAATAAGAGTTTACAGATGTCAAGGGTGAACTGGGTAAAGGCTGCATCACTAGCTGCAGAAGCCAAACAAATGTAAACTCGCTTTGTAGTTTATTGAAAATTTAATAAAGTGCAGCCCGCAAAACGGACATACGGACGGACGGACAAACGGACACAGGGAATGCGAGATGAAATAGGTGAATACCAATGGATGCGGAGACTACATGGAATAAGAAATACACAAATAAATATGCTATTTGCCTTTATTGCAATTCAATTTGCTATCAAAGCATCAGCCCTGAAATCAGCAGCCAATGGAAGTATTTGGGGTTATGTTTATGCCATAAAGGATTTGCAGCTCCCTCGGCTGCCCGGGTATTTTCGGAATTTAAATGGAATTTAAAAAGCATTTCTGTTTGAAATGGTTGTCAAGACTACGGCCAGGTATGCTGACACAAATCCGCCCGCAGGTGAGGCAAAAATCCAGGACTGGGACATCCTTCGTCCTGCAGCTGGCTTCTGTCATCTGGTTTCTTTGCTCTTTTTTTGATCAATATATGCGGCTGCAAGAAAAATGATTTCACAATGTTTGAGTGATTGTTTGAAGGCATTTACCATTTTTAATTTAATGCAATTTCTTTAACTAGAAATGGAAGAAGGTATCTAGGTTAGTTTGCACTGATATTTTAAGCTTTAAATGCCTTTTCGTTTGCGTTTTAATAAATTTCTAGAAATATTTATAAAGATTATCTTTGTCAATACCCCACCAAATTCTTCTACATTTCTTTTAATTTGTTAAAATCAAGGGACCATTAATTTTTATTATAATAGAATGAGCTTTTAATAATTATTTTGATTTAAATCAAATTTCCTAACAAAAGCCTGTTTTTCAATTAACCAAATTCAATTCTTAGATAATCTAGAGCGAAAAGTCAGCTTTCTTTTTGCCCGATGCAGCTTTCATTGTAGTTTCGAAGACAAAATCAAAAACCAACAATATGGCAATAAACGAATTTCGGTTATAACAATGTAGTTGACCTGCGTTGGACTGTTTCCCGAAAAAACCCCCTTCCGCCACCCACACAAACTGCGTTCGACCACATGCAATTTTGTTGGCATACTGATATCCATGGTCTGGCTATGAGGCCAATGGACCTAATGGTCGATGGTCACAGCCAAAGTTGGAAGTGGGCAAAATGGGGGCCTGAATCGGGGGAAGGGATCAGCTAATGGTGGGCAGTGGGTGGGCCAAAAATGTCCCTAGGTGTTGGTCGCATGGGAGTCGGCCGAACGCATCTATTTGTATTTTGTTACAGGACATGCTCTCAGTGGGCATATCCTTTACTCACCCAATGGGCGAGGGGATGTTGCTGTCACAGGGACGTCAGACAGAGACTTTTATTGAAAATGTTCAATGGCAAAAATTCATAACTGCAGCAGAAAAGTACACACAGAAAAATTGGAATGAACATTCAAGGCCATTATGTTGAACCTTCTTGGTTTATTGGGTAAAGGAAAAACCCTAAAGAATCAAACGAATTTTGACTTTTAGAATAACAAACACATTAAAACATTCAATAAAAATAAGGTAAAATAAATTGTAAATTTTTATATGCATAACTATAAACTTTTTTAGGAGTGAACAGCTTTTAGATCTTCGTTTTCGAATCAAACATGGACTATTTTGACCCGCCGGGCAGGACATAATACTTTGTCTGTTTTTAGGGCCCAGAAAATTGTTTCGTATTTGCGAAATGTTGAGTAATACGATTGCGGTGCTGCAATGCTTCAGTTTAGTTCAGGCTTTTAGTCTCCGATATCCGGCACTTTATAGTGACGTTTGTCGCAAATCATTGAACGCTTCGATTGCCGCTGGCGAATCTAATCAATGGCCGGCCAAGTGGCCGCTGGCTCTTCTGAAAGAGGCTCTGCCAAGTCAGTCAGTGTCAGCATGTCGTCGTGGGTCGTCTCCACCACCGAGCTGTGCGATTGTGGTGCAACCGGGGCGAAATCATCATCAGCCACAACAAACCCGCGGCACACGCGACTGATTCTGCTGGTGTGGCACAATCTCACCGAGAAGTGCCAAAAACTCGGTAGCTTTCTCAGGCGGGAGACGAACAAGCCGCTACCCAAAGAACTGAGGCGATCGTTACGTCTCAACAAATCGGCCAGAAGGAAAGGCTATCGGAGTTGCGAGAGCGAGGCAGATAAACGGTAGGCATTATAAACCTATATTCAAAGGGGTTAGATAAGCCCATTGTTATTGTTTATGTTGGTTTACCTATATGCGTACACCTGCTATAGTGGGTAAAATATATAACTTTTAAGTGGGTAAACTAGGAAGGTTAAATAATCATTTTGCGTTAAAAATTGATATATGTGAATTATAAAACGAACAAAAAATCCATGAAACTGTAGGTATAAAGACTGGTTCCCATTTTGTAAATTATTCGTATTATTATATTCACAAGCTATTTATTAACTTACCTTATTGAGATACAACCTTAGAATAATATATAACCTTGATAACCTAACTAGATAACCCATTTTTAACAAAACTAATTAAATTTTCCACTTTCCAGCCTGATGAAAGAGCGTCTGAATGAGCCCATCAACATATCCATACGCATGGGACCTGCTTACGACTATAGGCCTTCGAATTTCTGATGGATCTGCAAAAGGACTCTAGAACATCGCATTTCGAATTTATAAGCACTGCTGTTAATTTAGCTTAAGATGTAAATATAAATGTAAAGTGGCTGTTGTAAACTGTTATTAAAAGTTTCGATTTCGGCAAGTTTTACATGAATGTAGTAAGTTTAGAAACAGCTGATGAAGCGAAAAGCTTTGCGCGGCAGTCAAAGCTCTAAATTCTCTTAGGACTGCTTGATTCGATTGTCTCTCTTTATTTTCAGTTGCTTGCTGCTTTTAAGTACGCCCACACAAAAGTTTATTGCCCCGCTCACAACAAGTGGACGTGACTTTGTGCTCTATGTGTAGGGTATAAGCACACACTTGTTAGATTCGTATTAATCAGTAAATAATAAGAAACATGACAACAGATTTACATTACCAAAGAAAATACCAACAAAACCTAAAAGGTTTACAGCTCCTACACCTTACAGATTGCCCTTATAAGTAATTCAAATTACTTGAACATAAAATAAAATAATATACATATGTAAGTATAATTTATTTATTTCAGTTTTGTTTACCTGCTAAAATTTCTATATTACATATATACCATATTATATACATTTATTTTAATGAAGAGAGTCCATCAGTCGGTGATTTCTCGATTTAACTCGTACTTTAGTTGGCTTTTCCTTTCTGCCGCCTTGCATTTATTCGCGCCGTCTGGCACTCTCACTCTCTGCGAAGCACTCTCTTATTCTATTCGATTGTCTCTTTTTATACGTCACGGAAAGCGTTATCTCCCGAGTTTTTTCTGAGCTTCACGCTTATTGTGAAAAACGTGTTCGACGGAAGTGACATTGATAGTGAAATTTTAACCAAATTTTACGAACGTCGTGTTTTGTTTTATTTTTCGGAAGGCAAGCAAACCAGTTAAAAAGTGACAGAATTCTAATTTTATGAAAAGTGAACTTTGATTGAACACAACTCTGAAATTTGTTTTCGCAATTCAAATAAATAAATAAATATAACCGTAAACAAAAGGTCGAGTGCAAAATGAAGCTAATTTCCACAGTTGTTTACTTACTAGTGGCGTTTTACAAATTCCTCAAGAAGCTCTTGTAAGTGAACCTAATTATCTAATAATATTTTGAGTTCTTGGTTTTTTGGGTGTGCCAGGCTTTGTCCTTTTTTCGCCCTTTTTCCTCCCTTAAAACAACAAATCTTTGAGCTTATTGATAAAACAAAAACGAAAACATTTAATTTGTTTGCTGCTGCTTTTCATATATTAAATTTCCTTTGTAAAGCTTTTCCGTCTCGGTCTTTGTTTGCCGTTTTTCCTTTATTTTTTTCTTGGTTTTTGTTTATGTGGTTTGTTTTTGGACTTTCAGTTTATTATACAAAAATACAAATTTGCTCCAATCTGCTGTCTAGTGGGAGCGAGAGGGATAGAGAACTAGAGCCCAGCCCGCTCTTTGTGTGCTCTTCCCGCTCTCTCCCCTTTTCGCTCTCCCGCTTTGTAGCGCCAGGTTTTTGTTTGGGTTTGAGGTCGCTAGGAAATTGGATGGCGTTTGTCCCATGTGCAGATTGTAATTTACCCAAGTGCCTTCTTGTGTGTTTGTGTGTGTGTTTCCGAGGGGGTTGACAACAGAAATGGTTTTTTAATTACTATTACTGTCCTTTGTGGGCTTGTTTTCCATGTGTTGCCCAGCTTTGAGGGCGTTGTATACATAATTTCAGCAAGCACATAAGATCTTCTCTGATTAAATGAAGTATCTCTTGTTGGTGGAACTTGTAATGTCATCACAATTGACCGGAATTTCCCCGGCTCCAAAATATTTCACTTGTTGATGGTAATCATAACTGACAGAAAGTAATTTGGTGAAAGCTAATTAAGAGTCGTTCGATTAAGGGGTATAATGGGTTCTAAAGAACCAACATAAATAAATAATTCAACATCTTGACAATTAAAGACATAATCGATTATTTATTGAATTATTATAAAAATTTTCAGTCTGGTCTGAACTCAACTCAACCGGAATGACTCAGTTATTAAATATTATATTACCATATTTACTGTTGTGCATATGATGTGATAGGAAAATTTGCTAGAACATATAGAAAAACAGTTCAAATTCCAAAATTATAAAACCGCGTATTATGCTATGCATCTGTAAGTATATAAAAATCTGTGTACGGCACGCGTTTGCCAATTTCACTGCGAAATTGATAAGCTGCGAAAATAAGCTTGGGTGACACAGACCCTCAAAAAATTATAAATAAATGAAATAGAAGATAAACTAGGGAGTGAACTTTATACAGAACACTAAAACAAGGCCGCGTTTGGTCCACTCGAAATCCTTATCTTATCTCAGCGACTAGACCACTGGCTGCGAGTAATAAAAATACTAAATACTCGACTATATGGTGGAACTTAATAGTTATATTACCCAACTAATCGGCAGGCGTACTCACCACTGACCTTGACAGGCCAACTGGGAGCGGGATTGGCGAGAACTACGCAAATTAAACCGCCACAAACTAATGCAAACCAATTAGATCCAGGCTACGTCACTTTTTTGTTGCATTCCCCGTTTTTCTTATCAGTAAGTCATAAATTTAATCCCGTTTGAAAGTTTTACAACTGACCCGTGGGAAGGAATTATGCTCTACGAATCGTTTTCAAGTGGCCAATGCCTCCGTTCCTCCAGTTTATATGAGCTCCCGATAAGATATAACACAAGCCAGACACAAGACCAGACACGATCCCCATGTCAATGGCATTATTATCAGCGCGAATTTACAAATTCATCACAATTGACCCACTCAGGTCCAACAATACAAGGGGCCATACCAAGTGAGTCATTTGATCGATGATTCTGAGTCTTTGTTTGAGGGGAAAATGATTGATACTTGACTATTCAATGTGATAAAGATTATAGACCATTAGATGGATTTCTTTACCGCATCTTTTAATAAATTTATCGCAGTATAGAATATGACTATTGTACTAATTTACGATGTTTTAATTCATTTCAAAGAACATAGCTTTGGAATTTAAAAAAAGCACTATATGGTAAAGTTTGTTGAGGATCCTGTTTGCACTAACTACAATACGTATCAAAAACCACCTCTTAAGGAAATATTGAAACAAATCTAATACATGTTGAATATACGAAGATTTTTAAAGTACATACCAAGTTCGATTTTCTTCGTTTTCAAGCCGTGGTAATATTAGTTGATGTTCCTACTAGAATTAGGATATAGAATATTTCCTTATGTATATGTGAATATTAACATTAAAATACAAACATTTCTAATATTTAACAGGAACTTATTAAAACTTACCACATTAAGTCACATGTCTCTTCATTATTCCGAAACCTTGATGAGTTCAATGCGTATACTTGTTTTCCCCAAAATGTACATCACTCATACGCGGTGTTTGCCCAATAGAAACCAAATAAAGAGCCGTAGCCGCCGCGAGCACTTACACTAGTGTTACAGACCCTGAGAGCGCGAGCCATTGAACTTATTACGATAATGAGGTGGAGAGCACAGCCAGCGAGAGGGGGCTTCTCCGCCTGGTGATTGTGCAATGGTGCCTCAGTCGGCCAGACAAACAGAGCGGACTCTTCGGCATTATCCTTATCAGCTTCCCGGCGGGGAGAGCGTTGGTATAAATGCCGCAAAGCACGTACCATCGAGTTTAGTTCTTTGCAGCTCGCCGGAGCATTTGAACCTCTCGAAACCCAAGTGCTGAATATCAGCAATATTCCCCTTTTCTCGGTTCGCGAAAATTCTGCGGGAACTTTTGGATACCTTTTTTGTGATCGGCGAATAACCATGTGTGGTAGTGCTTAGTGCCGGCTGCAAAATGGTGAGTCTCGCATTCGCTGCAACATGTTGGATTTGCCCCACTGAACCACTTGCAAGTGCCCCACAAACCTTTCGGGAAAAGCGGTCGATGCTTGATTTATATTGTGTCCAGATGGAATCAGCTCTGGCCGGAGAAGAACCAGTTTTTTCCAAGTCAAAGCCGATGCGATACTCTCCATATGCGACACGAGCATGTGTCCCAATCTGTCGCTATGCTGTTGTATAACAAAAATAATCACCAGGCAGCCATTAAAGGCGAAACTCAATCCCAATTTGCCTATACCCTATAGTTCAGATAGTCCCCAAAGGAAATGATAGTATTTTAAATATGTGGGCGTTGAAGGGCGATTTCGCACATATTCAAATTACGTTATACGGAAACCCCGAAACAAAATTAGTATAGTTTTAGTTTAATAACTTAAAAAAGCTATTACTTAGTAAAATATACAATTTGTTTCTTTTATTATCAAAGCTTTGATAATAATCGTTGAATAAGGAATCTGAGATGGATTCACTTCAACAACACTTGCTTACATTCAATATACTTACTTTGTACGATCATTTCGGATAGGTCATCTGATAGTCGAGGAACCCAGATGTTCGTCTGCGAAATCCCCCTGATAAGCTTATCAATCCGCTGCCGTCTCTCCTTTTTATTCGCTTTTTGTTTGCTTTGGGTTAATCGAAATCAGATGGAGTGATCGCTGACCCGATCGACCAGCGAGAGCAGGTGTCCGGCCACTACAAAGTGTGCTACATTGGCAATAAAAAACTATATATGTACATATATGTCTACTATATATATATTCTTTACACAATTCCCTATTATCTGATCCACGAGGTTTAGGCCTGTCATAAATTGAGCGAGCCTGTTGCCAAGTTCATGTGGCATTCTCGGCGTTTAGACGACTCCCCACTGGCCCGAACACTCACGTACATATAGCCATATAAATAAAACTCAATGTCGGCCGCTGCTCTTGTTGATTCCGCTCGACTTTCCGCAGTGCATTGCCAAAAAAAATATAAGACCCGCAGAACGTTTGTAGAGCTGTCCCACCTGCGGAAGGGGAAGTGAATATTATATTATTTTCAATTAGTGCGATATCGAAAATTGACTCAAGTTGTGTATAGGTATGTACGGCTAAAAATATAGAACATGTAAATTGAAGTATAACAAGTTCAATAACAGCTAAGCAAATACATAAAGGCAATCGGGAGGAAGTCGGGGTATATTTGTTAAACATGAAATTAAACATTTTGTAGATAATTTCATAAATATTTGGAGCTCAAATATGAACATAACTTTCACTTAAAGGGCAGCTTTTATTTTATTAACCATGAAAAATATACAACATATATTAAATATATTTAATTTTTAACTACATTTTCTTCATGTAAGATTTGTGTAAAATAATCAACTTTTGCCTACTTTTAGGCATTTGTTCAAGATCAATAAAAATAGAAGGAAATAAAATTCAAACGAATTATGCTTTTCCGAAAAAATAACTAAAATGCACCTTTAATACTTAGACCTCCAAAAGAGCTTCTAAAACTGTTTTGTCAAAAATATCTCTAAATTATGTAATCCTTTTAATTAAATTTTTCATTTTGCCTAAAACGATTTAAAGGCAGATAAGATACTGCGGAAATGAATGAAAGTCGTTCTACTCATTCAATTCGCTTGAAGTTTATTAGCCAAATGAATGCAATCAATTCGCTCTTGAATTAATGCAAATCATGAAAGTGCATAATAATTTATTAGCTACAAATTAGCATTGGAGGCTTACGTCTGTTCCGTCTATTCTGTTCTGTTTTGATTGCGTTCTGTGGGAGGAACAAACTGAGGCGTAAAATTAATTATGTCTGTGGGGATGTCAAGTGACAGGCGGCTGCCATAGAGTGTAATTAATCAATCGCAGCTGATTGGAAATTGTTCTTTATTTATCTGCAATTGACTGTTTACGGAATACGGAATTCCTTTGGCATTTTCACACAGATTGCTCCTCAAACTTAACTCGCCCACTCTCAAGATTGATTACAATTTAATGTTTGAATGTTCAAGAATTTACTTCCTTTAATTACGATTTATTTTGTAAACACAATTTTTGAAATATTTGCAATTATTTCTCGCTTAATTTAACCTTAAGCAGCTGTAAGTTCAAGTTGAATCTTGTTTGTTATGCTTTCGAAACAAAAACAGTAACAACGCTTGTCGTTCTGATTCATCGGGTCAAGTTTAAAGTCAAAACGGATGAAAGCATTATTCAGAATTACGCTTATTAAACCAAAACGAGTCCCTCTATTTGGCTAACAATAAATTTGACATTTTGGAAAGTAATCAAACAAAATGTGGTTTGCCTTTAAAAAAAACCGAACTGAATGAGAGCGGCGATTTCAATTTCATGATATATATTATAACTATGACTGAACAGCGGCAATCAGTCTGCTCTTTTAATGAGAAACGAGAGAGATCAGGGAACTGAGTGGCTGGTGGCTGTTGGCTGGCAGCTGGCACTTGATTGCCTCGATCTCGGCTAGAGTCGGCCAGAAGATATAAATAAGGAAAGGCAACGCACGCGCGTATTAATTGTTGGCTGTTCTAAACGGCCAGAAGTGCGCTCCTCCAATTGTGTACATCGAAATATTACGCATACGCAGCGTGGTCAATGAAAAGTTCCGTTCGTAGAAGTGATCAAAAATCAAAGAAATGGATCAAAAGCGCGGAGTACGGGAAAACTATGGCCACAGACGCCAGCCAGCCTTGGGCAAGGCCATGCCAGTTACGGCTCTTTTGCTGAATATGGAGGTGAATTCCAAGGATTACCGACGAAGTGATGGTGGTTCAGAGCCATCAGACGAGGACGATAAGCCGCCACAATTGTTTAGTGTGACGGATGAGCCACCCTCACCCAACGAGGAGGACTCCAAGCCACCCAATCACTATACGGAAGATCAAAAACTAGCTGGCGATTCTCGGAGGGAAGTTCCCTGCTCGAATTGCCTGCAATTGGCATCCGCAGATCTCACCGATCGAAACTCGGCCATTAACGAGATGTGCCAACGTCTGTGTGGTCCCGAGTGCAGACAGCCTCAAGGACTCACGCTCGATGGCTTTCGGCAGGATTTCCTCAGGCAGTACGAGATCGCGGAAGCTGTGGCCAAGACCTCGGCCATGACCTCCACCGTTCAGATGAAACAGCGCCTGGCCGCTCGCAAACTGGAAATCGAAAAGGAAATGGATGAGCAGCTGGGCGTGGCCAGCCCCCATATCGATATCAATCTCGGCCAGAGCAGCAGCAGCAGTTCCGCTGCAGCTGGAGATTTTGAGTTTGAGCCGCCCCGCGATCTGCTTTTGTATCTGGTGAGGTGAGATACTATACTTCGAGACTTTCAGACTCCGAGACTCCGATACTTCGAGGCTTCGATACTCGTTTCTTGCAGGGGAACAGGGTAGCAGCGACTAAAACTGCCTGTCTGTCGTGCTTATAAATCAAGTTCATGGCTGGCAGCGTGTCAAGTGTTCTTAGGCATTGGCCAGGCCTCAAAGCCACTTAGCGGCAATCAACAACAACAACAGCAACAAGAGCAACAAAAACAGTAGCAAAAAAAAACAGCGACAACAGCTCACCGAGAGCAACAAAAACTAACCTTGCACAATTTGCGCGAAAGTGATCATGACAAGAGCTGACAGTATATATCTTATATATATATAGCTGTGCCCCAGGGAAAGGGGAAATACGAACGATTTTAATTTTTTATAATTATATTTATTTTAGTTTACTATCCCCAATGAGATGAGGCAGGGTCGTAGGCTTTATTGAATTCTTAATGGGGAAAAACGCACGTTGTTGTAATAAAATTATTGAAGCATAGTAATTTACTTATTATTTTATATGAGTCATAAAAGTCTTTAATAGATTTATTATTAGGTTTCAAATTCATCTTTCCAACAGTTTCTCTTTTATAAGATTTTATTTTTATTATTTCCTTCGAAACATTTTCTTTGGCATTGCCTTTATCAGCAAATAGTTATTTTTTTAATTTAATTTTTCCGTTAATCATTTAAAACAATTTTAAATAATTGAAATATTTGCTTGGTGGGAAGTTCCACCTTTGTTTAGCTCAGCTTTCAATAATTTCGATATACATTTTGCCTGCTTATCCATCATACAGCTGTGAACTTAATGGCTTTCCATTAAGTGATAAGCGACAATTAAATTGCCCCTGTATCAGTGTAAATGGAGTAAAAATATCCTATCAATGAGCAAAACAATTGCAATTAGGGCACGGCATTGTTCCGACACGTGCCTAATGATTAAGTCGAATTCAACATTCCGCTCCGAGATTAGTGGGCAACTTGCAAGTGGTATTCAGCGAGATCAACGAACCAAACCCAAATAATTGTCTAACCCCGTTAAAATTCTTCCTTTTCTAGGAAATACAGATGGGGCCGCGTCTCTTTGACATTGCCATACTGACACTAAATATAAAACACTTTAAGTTATCCTAATACCCAATACAAGAAACGAAGAATCCCAGTGTAGAGAACAGAAAGCGAACAAACTGAAAGTGATATTTTGCTTGGACCAGAGTTGAGTTTGCAGAAAGAGTTCAAAATGGAGTTTCTAATGAAAACATCGCGTTTGATCGTCACATCGAAGACGTTCGCAAGACGTGTGGCCGTGCCGATTCCCAGGTAACCAAAATGCAGATACAGATACAGATACAGATTCAGATTCAGATTGGGTTATATGTATGTGGTGTATACATATATCTTGGACGGACAGCTCATTACGCATGTAACTGCGTTGCTGTATAAATTGTGCAGATACAATTGTATCTTTTGTCTGTCGCATTAGCATTTGAGAACATTTGGGATTCTGCTTAGGCATACAACACAGAAAGGCATTAGCTAAGGATGCTGCATATGGCTGCCGATTTTCTCCATTTTATTTATTTATTTAGTGTTTTTTTTTTTTTTTTTTTCTCCTTTTGCATGCATATATGTTATATCTCACTCGAGCACTTTTGTTTTCATTAACTGATTGCCATACCCCGCCGCCGCGGGCGCATAAATATTTAACAATCCGATTCGGAGTCGGTAAAGAATCGTTTTTTTGTTTAGCATTTTGGCAGCGGGGCGCTCTCACACGTGAGCCGAACGTATTGATCTCGTTCTGGGGGTATCTGTATCTTGCAGATACATCTCGTATGCGAAATACCCGTTTGTGCGTGCTCTCCTCGCGATCTTTTCGCTGCCTCGCGAGCGTTCTCTGCCCGGCAATGATCTCTCTAATAAAACCCCGCACTTCAGATGGCATTCAGTTTCGCCAAAGTCGCTTGCAAGCGCACCTCGTTCCGGCGCCAAAAACCCCAAAAAAATACACCCCCATAAATCCAGGAAAAACAAAAATTCCAAATCACAAAAATCAAAATTTCCAAATTCGAAATCCTTCGATCCTGCCGCAGAATCATGGAGCAGCCAGCAATGCCGATAAAGCGAGCCAACAAGCCGCCCTGCAAAAACGATCGAAAGGCTTATCTGCAGAAAGTGATGCTGACCAGGTGAGAGCATCCAGGGGATGCGGGGATTTATTGGCTCCATCTGCGAATGATTGATTGCGGTGACAGGCCGAAAGCCGTAAGCCCCGAAATCCAGTCGCCAGTCGTCATCCATCCCGGCGGGGAACTGGTTTCGATTCTCTCGCGGAACGGAGCAAACCAGCCCAACAGCTGCGAAGCTATTGACCGAGCGACATTTTTCACCTTTGTTTTTGTTTCGCCGTATTATCATCGCGTGGGCGTCCCATCATCTCCCCCTTCCACTTCCCTTTCCCCTTAAATTCCCCTTCCAGTTATGTAGTGGTCCGCTTATAATCAGAACATATGTGCTAATTGTCGAGGGTTTTGATGTACGAAAACCAGAAGCGTTCATTTGATCTACAAAATATATGGAAGTAATTCATGGATGCAGTAGTGATTGAGTTTACGAGCAAAGCAGATTCGATTCATGAGGTAGAAGAAAATGCAAGTGGAAAGCCAAGTTTTAAATGTGCTTAAACAATTTGTAAATTGGATAGAAGTTTTATTAAGTTCATCAAACAAAACAACACAAGAAATAGAAATGAAAGAATTACACCCTTAGAAAGGTTCCATTTTAATAAAGGTTGCAAAAGTTTGGTTCGTTTTTTTACGTCGAAATAATATCTTTATTGATAAAACAACAAAATTTCACCTTCTAATAATTTTATGTTTTTGTAATGTTTCACTTTCTGTTTCAACTAAGAAAACCTTTTTGACAAAGTCTTAATAATTTCAAAAATTTATTTTCCCTTCCACACGCAAAACGTAACACCACAAAATAATTCTTTGCAGCAAAATGAATACGGGAAAATTTTATACGAGTCAACGTCATAGTCATAGTCTATTCATTTTCAGCATAATACTGAGAAAAATTCTATATAGAAAACCAAATGCTTTGTGAGTACTAAGTATTATAATTGTTATGAGCATTAAATTATAAATATATTTTTGTTGATGTTTTTGCTGTTGTTTATATGATTTTGTTCGCTGAAAGTTGTTTGTCTGTTGTAAGAAGCTTTGATCAGTTTTTCGATTAAAATGCTTTTAAAGTTTTAATGGCAATATAATCGAATAGTGAGTGACAAGCGCGTTTGCTTGGCTAAGTTATATGGGATTCACTATAATTTGTACTAATTGAAATTAAACGTTCTTTTTCAGAATGGGCTCATTCAACTCGGCACCAAAGATCAACAACGTGGACTCACAGGACGATGGCCTGGAGTTACCCACGGGTCTGAGTACCTCGGCTCTCCTTCAGCATGTCCAGAAATTGCGGGGCGGCGGAATCGAGCAGCCCTCGCTGCTCACCCGCGGCTTCTTGAAACCGCTCCTGATGGACGGAGACGTGGCCGACGGACTGCGTTGCCTCCAGCTGAACTCCGTGTCGAGGGGTACGATTACATCCTTCCCTTATCCAAAGGACATGTTCTAATCTATTTGTGCAGTTTGCAGTGCACCAGTTGAGGGCGAAGCCTCCGAGAACATTCGATTGCTACAGTGGAACATTCTCTCGCAGAGTAAGTATTGAAGGACTATTAAATTTTTATATTTCCCATCTGAAACAAATTTGAATAAATCATAAACACAAAACACTTCTCGAGTAAATATTTGGTTATTGAAATTGTTATATTAAAAAACACAACTACGCAACATTTTCTACTGAAATTAAGATTTTATTTATTTAAATTCTATATTTTTTTCTACATTTTTTATAGCTCTCGGCCAGCACAACGATGGTTTTGTGCGCTGTCCCGAAGAGGCGCTCACCTGGGAGCACCGCAAGTACCTGATTGTCCAGGAGATCCTGCAGAACCAGCCCGATGTGATCTGTCTGCAAGTATATGCGCACACTTCCAAATCATCAGGGTAGCAGTAGCGCTTTAACTCTTCATTTACCCAAACAGGAAGTAGACCACTTCAAGTTCCTGCAGACGGTGCTGGGTAGCCAGAACTACGCGGGCATCTTCTTCCCCAAGCCGGACTCTCCGTGTCTTTATATCGAGCAGAACAATGGACCCGATGGCTGTGCCGTGTTCTACAAGCGGGACAAGCTCCAGCTGCAAGGATACGACACCAGGATCCTGGAGGTCTGGCGCGTGCAGAGCAATCAGGTGGCCATCGCCGCCCGACTGCGAATGCGTTCCAGTGGCCGGGAGTTCTGTGTGGCCACCACCCATTTGAAGGCCCGACACGGCGCCCTCTTGGCCAAGTTGCGCAACGAACAGGGCCGGGATCTCATCCGGTTTGTGAAGCAGTTTGCCGGCGATACACCGCTGCTGCTTTGCGGCGATTTCAACGCCGAACCCGTTGAGCCCATCTACGCCACGATCCTGGGCTGCGATCTTATCCGGCTGGGCAGTGCCTATGCCGACGTGAAGCTGGACCGCGAGAAGATCCTGCAGCCCAGCGAGGATGTGGGCGAGTTCGTGTCGGAGTCGATGAAACGGGAGCCACCCTACACTACCTGGAAGATCAGGGAGGAGGGCGAGGAGTGTCACACCATCGACTACGTCTTCTACACACCCGATCGCCTCAAGGTAAAATTATTTATCCAGTTATGCAATTAATACAATTTATTCAAGACATCTTAGCTCAAATATTTTGTTTAACTTTTGGATATTTTTAAAATATCTCTTTTTCGTTTCAGATCAAAAACTGTCTAGACTTCCCGGCCGGCGATCAGATCGGCAAGAACCGCACACCCAGTTACCAATATCCATCGGATCACTTTTCCCTGGTGTGCGATTTCGAGTTGCTACCTGCGGCGGAAAAGGGGACGGAAATCGGAGGCGATGGGGAAAATGGAACGGAAACGGAGGGCGGCAAACATGGCTCTATTCAATAGGAGCCAAGTTCCAGAAATCACCAGAGAGAAGTTTCAATAACATTACATCAATTGTGATATTAGTTGTTAGATACATTTTAGCCTCATACACGAGCGTTGCACTACAGTTTGCAGCTTTTACAAATGATAATCCAAAATTCACAATCAATAAATAATTTAATATGGAAGAAAGTCAATTCAAATGTGTTTTATTCGCCAAAACTCAACTGACTACAATAAAAAGAAGAATTTTATGACAAATAAATTACCATTAAGTTGGTTCTTTTGTGTAATTTTATGTATGTAAGCTAAAACAAAAATTCCCCAAAAATGTATCGCAGTTTTCGTTGGCTAACGTTAATCTGTAAGTTTTGGGGAAAATGCAAAACCAAACTTTGTTTGCCTCTTTAGATAAACCTTTTTTGGTAAGTGTTGCCAACTTTCAGGCGTTGACTTAAAGCAAATTGTTTAACACGAATTGTAGGCTCGGGGTGTTTACCTGATCAGTCTGCTGGACCCCGCAAATTGCCAATCAATTGCTCTCTCAAACCGAAATGTTTTTGTAAATTATCAAATTTGAAGTAAAAACACGCAAGCCCAGGAAATCGCAAGATATACCCAACTGCAACGCATTCGAAGCAGCGAAATGAGTTGCGTAACACAACAAATAGCATTATAAATATACACACTACATGTATTCAGTATATAACAATTTTCACATCATGTTCGCACTACAATTTAATAGGTAAAGCCATCAATACGTTGGATTTTTGGCTTAGAGCAGGGCCAAAATAGCGGTCAGCACGAACGATGTGGCGACCATTGCGTAACCGGTCGAGTAGACCTCCTTGATCTTCAAGAATCGCCCAGTGTCCCACAACAAATGCCTGATTCCATTAGCGGTGTGGTATCCAGCCGGATAGGCGATGATGAACTTAAGGGCGGTCAAAGTGGCGCCACTTAACTGGAGACCCTCCACCATGGTCACATAGTGGCTGATGTCGTGGGAGGAGATCAAGGCACCCAGTCCCAGGCCCCAAACGCCAACGCCCAAGGCTAATCCTGTGCCGCGATGACAGATCGACAGCATAGAGGTAAGTTGCGGTTGGTAGATGGTCAGATGGGGCGACAGCTTCCTGCCCAACCGCTCGTTCTTCTCAAAGAACGATTCATCCTTTTGGGTATCAGCGACGGACACCACCTTAAGCGAAACCGGGCGGCTGGCAGCGGCCATCTGGAGGCCCTGGCGCAGCGCCGGCGATCGGATCAGCGAGCTGGAGAGTGCGTACCTGCGAAAAAACGATAGGAAATCATTGTTTTCGCAAAGCCATAGCAAAAATTACGTACATTTTGCTGTTTTTCACTCGAACTTGTATTCGTAGGACCGTATTCTGCTTGGCGGAAATTGCTGCATATAGTGATGCCACTCAGAGCTCCCAGTCCGAATTTCCAAATAATGCACACTGTGCAAAAAATATAGAACTTTTAAAATGAATTTCTTATAATCCAAAGCAATTAAAACAATTTTGTAAAAATTGTTATGATGTATCAATGCTTTAGAGTGTCATCTTTCGTTCTATTTATTACGAGTTTTGAGAAATCAATAATACCGAAAAGCTGATTTAGATTCTCTACATGTAAACATAATATTGATAAAGAAGTTTCCAGCTGGAAAGCAGACATCCGTGCCGCGAACCATTTTTGACTGGTGCAAGAGTTTATATTGCTGGAAAATTTAGGGAGGACTTGATTTTGGTATTTTATTGTAATCGTGATTGGGCATAAAACAGTTTCGCCCACCTGGCAACACTCTTTTCGTTCCAACCGCGTGGCAAGTCGTTTCGCTGTGTTCCCGGCCTGGTGCATTCGTAGTTGCAATTCGCCATTTAGACGCCATCTTCCGAAGCCCGAAACCCAATCACCATGAAGATCTACAAGGACATTATCACCGGCGACGAGATGTTCGCTGACACCTACAAGATGAAGCTGGTGGACGACGTGATCTACGAGGTGTACGGCAAGCTGATCACCCGCCAAGGCGATGACATCGTGCTGGCTGGCGCCAACGCCTCCGCCGAAGAGGCTGACGAGGGCACCGAAATCACATCGGAGACGGGTGTTGATGTCGTGTTGAACCACCGACTGCAGGAGTGCTTCGCCTTTGGCGACAAGAAGTCCTACACCTTGTACCTGAAGGACTACATGAAGAAGGTGCTCGCCAAGCTGGAGGAGAAGGCTCCCGACCAGATCGATGTGTTCAAGACGAACATGAACAAGGCGATGAAGGACATCCTTGGCCGCTTTAAGGAACTGCAGTTCTTCACTGGCGAATCTATGGACTGCGATGGCATGGTGGCTCTGGTGGAATACCGCGAAATCAATGGGGATAGCGTACCCGTGCTCATGTTCTTCAAGCACGGTCTTGAGGAGGAAAAGTGCTAGGCGGATGATGGATCGTGATCTTCACTTCCCCGGGAACTATACTCATGCATACCTTCTACACATATATATTTATCAGATGCTTAGTTACAATTTTGAAAGTCTTAAATTTATGTTAAACGATGACTAAATGCCTGTCCCTCGATCTGTGCGATTTTATTTCTAATGATTTCTTTCGGCCGGAGCTCTCATAAATTCGACTCAATGTATGTTTATTGTTTAATCACACCGAGCTAAACAATTGAATTGCGCCAACTATTGTAATTAAAAAAAAAAATAATATTTTGATAGCAACACCTTAAAATTGTATGCATTTTCGCGACCACCAACACAAAAATTAAACCGAAAATGGGAACACAAGTACTGAAATTAAACGGAACCCCAATATACAACTGTAAATCTAAATGCCTGTACTTTTTTTGCATTTACAGTTATGCGTAGGTAGACGCCGCCATATGTGGCGTGAGTGCAAGCGAGAGGGAGACCCCGCCGTCTGAGTCACACAGACTGGCTCTTTTTTGTTGCTTTTCGGGATATCGCGGAGTTATTGACCTTTGACAGTGATGTACACGTGCGGAGGCACGTACATACATTTTGGTGGAGGTCATGCGCACTGGATTACTATTTCTGCACGCTGCAATACCACTTGCCCCAGTTTTGCACGTTTAATTCGCCCTAACCTCAAACAATTGTACAAATACTATATTAACGAAATGCGTCGCTCTTGCAAAATTTTGGAATTCTATAATCTAATTCTAGGGCTGGGAAAATGTTGCTCGTTATCTACTGACGGGGCGGGGCTCTTTGACACAGGTGCTTTTTTGATATCAGCGAAACGTGTCGACCTGTTGCCGTTTTCGCGTGAGAGATGCCGACAGTGAGTACTCGCCTAAATCAACTTTGTTGTTTGGTGAGACTTTCATATTTAAACAAAAACTATCTGAAATTTTACCATATCTGAATTTATAACAATTTATGGAACACAAGTTTCCGTTGAGGCTTTTTAAAACAAGTTTGCAAAATGAAATGAAATTTATATGGCGTTACTTTTGTTGATAAAAACTTTTTTCCTTATTGTTTATTGTTTATAGAACAGTAAAACGGAACGCTTTATTGCACCATAGTAACTTTGAAAATAATAAATATCGATTATATTGTTTGCTAAATTTGATTTGCCAATTTGTACATCTTTTTAGGATTAAAGCAGCCCCAAAAAATCGTAGATGATTCTTGCAAACACCCATCCAACCGGAATTGAAACTCCTTTCTATTCTCTTTACGTATAAAAATGCTAATAACAAATTAAATTTTATTTCGTTCATAATTTTGATGCGTCAAACTGTGGCCAAAACGATTTTTTTAGTGCACTTCCACCGCACAGCGGAATGTCCGAGGAAATGTCAGTCAGATTATATTCTACTTGTAGGTATGCATGTTTCGGGATTTGTTCATTCAGAATTTAAAAAAACTTTAAATATATATATTTACTCTTGCACAATTTCATTAGCTTAGCTTACAATTACACTAATGCTCCTCGATATCGACTATTGCATACTTTAAATTATGCTTTCAGTTGTATAGAATGGAATGAATGCTGAACGCATTTCAACAAATACAAACGTTAATAAGTTAACAAAATTCGCAAAATTACTAGTACATATTTTGTTTTACTTAGCTCTTGGAGGGTTTTGTTTTTGGAAGTGATGGGGGTATTGTGGCGCCGTAAGAAACTAAATTTTTAAAATAATGTTTGATAACATCGACGCTCGTTCGCACTACTGCACACAAACACACTACTCGCGTTGTTAAATATACACATCATTGTACAAGGACACCGGTGGGCCGATCCCATTTCAATCAAACATAATCCAGCTGTATGTAGATCTGCTTCACGCCAACCGCCTCAAAGATCATCCGCGTGTGCGTGACAACGTACTTCGGATCGACGTTCTTCGACACCTCGAGCTTGAGGGCTCCAACGTACACATCTGAGCAAAGGGTCCAGAAGTGCGGCTCCTGTACCGCATAGACGCCAGCCAATCCCGTGACTTTCTGGTAGCACTGCGGCAGGGATCTATCCAGATTCGTGGGCTGGCGCTGCATAAGGATCATTATTGACTCCTTGATCAGACCCAAAACGCTGAGGGCAATCAGCAGGGCGATAAAGATGGAGCAGATTGGATCCGCAATCATCCAGCCGAACATGTGCATTAGCACCGCCGAGATGATCACGCCCACCGACCCCAGTGTATCGGCCAGGATGTGAAGGAAAACGCCGCGCATTATCTGCGAGTTACTGCCCGACATGTCTCCATGCGAGTGGCCATGGCTGTCGTGGTCGTGCGAGTGTCCATGACCTGGAAACGGAAAGATTAAAATGATTAGAAAGTTATCATCGAAATATTCCCGAATTCAGTATAAAATTCAAGCTGTACGCTACCGTTGTCCAAGGTAATGGCCTGGTGATTGTGGTTGCTGGAGTCGTCATGGCTGTGCGAGTGTCCATGTCCATGGCCTCCGCCGTGAGAGTGCCCGTGTCCACCGCCTCCATGCGAGTGCCCGTGTCCGCCGTGATTAAAGGCGTAAATTCCGACTAGATTGACCAGCAGTCCCAGAACGGAGACCACAAACAGCCGCTCGTGCTTGACCTCCGGCGGTTCAATCAGTCGCTCCACGCCCTCAGACAGGATGAAGAAGGCGATGAACAGCAGGAACAGACTGTTTACGAACCCGGCTAGCACTTCTGCTCGCACATAACCATAAGAATACTTGTCGTTAGCCTTCCACTTGGTGATAACAGAGGCGGCCAATCCCGCCAATAGGCCAGTGCAATCGAAGAACATGTGGAACGAGTCGGAGATCAGGCCTGGGGATTAGCCATTAAGAGGGTTATAAACTCAGGATAAGATAAAAAGCAATTAGGGGCTAAGAACCCACCTAGACTGTTCGTCACAATGCCGTAGAAGAGCTCCACGAAGGCGAAACTCAGGTTAAGCAGGAGAAAGAGGAACAGATTCCTGGAGTTGCGGTCGGAAAAGATCAGTCGCTTCCAGCTGTTGAGCTTTTCCCGGATCCGGTAGCCCAAACTGCTCCGGTCCTTGTGCGACAGCGGTATCATCTTGACGAAGATATGGATTTGCAAGGAAACCAGGAAATAAATAACGTTGAAAACCCTCAGATAAAACACTTTTGTTTGCATACGTGGTATTATCGGGGGCTATAGCCGCTCCAGCTGATTCTCACTTCGTTCTGTGACCGGTGGCTCGAGAATCTTTATCTGCGTGCGTCGGCGTCGGCGGCAGCTTTTTGATTCCCGAATTACCTCACAGCCGAAAAACTCTTCCTGCTAGTCAGCGGTCGTCTTGTGTGCACAGTTGTGCGGCGCGGGCTGGTCGTTATTCGAGTTAACTCTACGTTAATTCATTATTGCAGTCTGCCAGATACCAAAACCGAACTCCCGTCTTTGCCAGCACCAATCCAATCTGCCGTGTTGTCATCAAAATAAAGGTAACCACGTAAACATATCGGCCGAAAGAAGGAACGTTTCGCTGTGAATGGCAATTTAATTGGACATCATTAAGAATGTTTACTGGGTTAAATTTCCAACAAACGGGTGGCGAATAGGAAATATTTTTATTGTTACTCTATTGTATGTTCTTTTGCAGATTAAATACACTCTTTCAATAAATAAATAATAATAATTCCTTTATATACGTTTGTGTATTTCTCCACATCAAAAAAAATTTTAGGGAGAAAGTTGTCAACTTGTTTGTTTTTTTTTTAAATAATATCTATTTTTTTTTCTTTGTAAAAAATAGGAAAAAACATTTAGCAGCTAAAATACAATCCACTAAAAGTTATATTATACTACTTTAACACAATAATAATTTTAATAATAATAATACTAGAAATTATTTACTAGTATAGTAGTGAATACTAAAGGAAGAACAAGCAGTATTCTAATTCCTGTTGGATGTGTTTTTTTTTCTGTCGCAAATATTTGCATTCTTAATTTCATTGTTTAAATATCTAATACAATTTTTTTTCGCAATAATGTAAACAATGTTTATCATGGTATATCTTTTTAGCCTGTTTATCTTCCCAAATTTTTATGGTACATTCATACTGTAAGCATGCCCCATTTTTGGTACCAAAAATAAAACAATTTTTGAGTTGAAACATATCCCGCTAGAAAAACAAGAACGGGATCTATTTTAGCCGGCAGCCCAATCAAGTAGGTCTTAGTTGCACTTGAATTAATATCATGCAAGAGTTCTTCAAAACCCAAAGTAAGAACTGACCTAGCAGTAGAAATATGTTTTATTTCGACAGCTACATAGTTCACAATCAGTAGGAAATTCCTCAGTCGCAAACTCCGAGTTCGTCAAAAACACAATAAAATATCACGCAAATGTCCCTTACATATATAAGAAAGCAAGTTTATTCAACATTTCACACACAGCGGTATCGTAGCTCTCGAAATACAATCATCGTTTAATTGTAAAACAAATGCGCTACAGAGATGCAATGGGTAAAAGGTAAAACATTTACGCCTCATCACCCTTGGTGGCACGTGTGTAGATGACCTGGGAATGATGCTGCACGACCTGCTTGATCAGACCTGGAAGTAAGGAGAAAAATTAGGATTTGTTGATAACGAATCTAAGTGCAATTACTTACCCTTCTCGCGCAGCTCAATCAGAGCACGCTTGGCCAGGGATCCACGGATCTTCAGACGCTCAGAAACCACCGAGGGGGTAATCAGCTTGTAGGCGGGCACTTCCTTGTACAGCTTCTCGTAGGTGGCCTTATCGAACAGCACCTGGTTGTTCAGCTTGTCCCTGACTTTTCCCTTGGACCACTTCTTCTTCTTGGCCTTGCCGCCGCCGGATCCCTCCTTCTTCTTCTGTGTCTTTTGCGGCTGCTTAGCCGAAGACTTTGCGTCCTTCTTAGGCGGCTATAAAATAAGATACCTCTTGTTAATTGTGGGGTAATACTAATATCAAAAATCTTCATTGACCAAAAGCAAACACCTGGAGCTAGCCGCTTTCGAGGTTAAATCATGCTTTTGTTTTTAGTCCATTTTTTCACATTTTCCCACCCAACGGAGGTGTTGATTTCATGCTGCAGCCCTACGGCATCACTTTAGTCATGATTTGCTCTCATTTTCAGGTCACTTTCACAGTAAAAAACTATTATTTTCGCTGAAATCGGTAGCAACGAACTCACCATCGTGAAAAGTCAATGCAGAAAGATGGAGGGCGGAAACGGCCAGAGTTACCAACCATCGCTTAAGGCTGCACGCCTGCCTATCGATAGTTCATGTGAGAAAAATACTAAAATTATGTTTCTAACAAATAGAAAGAAAATGAAAAGCAATGGACGGTTATGTTTACCGCCATAATTTGTATCTAGATTGCAGGTAAAAAATTTAATTTATCTTAACCCCGAAGATAAATTAAAAAGAAAACGTCAACTAGTATAGGGCCAATAGATTGGCAATTTTTACCATACCTACGATATCATTCGCACACAGCAATAAGACCAGTCGTGACCAAAAAGAAAATGCTGTTATATTTCCAGCCATATGGTATTATTCTGGCTTCCGAACACATATTTTTTGCATGTCAAACAAATAAATTTAAATAATTGGAATTAAATTGGGCAAAATGAAGGCGTTCTGTCGCACATGTGGTAAAACCATTGTGGCTGATCAATGCCTTCAGATCTTTGCGCCCGAAGGCCGAAAACTTCTACAGTGCGTGCGCTCCATAACAAACTGCTGGGTTAGATCGAAAGTAAATTTTCGATGAGTTTCACTTCTGGACTAAAGAATTGTTTACCAACTTGCAGCTGCAGGATGCCCAGGACTTGCCTACCCATATGTGTCCTGGTTGTCAGGCGCTGCTTAGACAGGTCCAAAAATTCCGTCGACGATGTGCAAAAATCGAAAAGTATCTCACCAGGCGGCGGAGCAGAATGAATCTTGGCGAGGCTCCTGCGGCTGTGGCGCTTCAGCTTCCCGTCCAGCAATCGACTGCTCCGGATCCCCTGGGCATCGATGAACTAATGGCAGCCAGCGAAATTAAATTGGAACCCACTGAGGTGCATATGGAGCAGGAAACGGTGTCTTATTCAGGGGATCAGCTTAAGGAAGCCAGTTTTGGGGATACCCCGGGATACTCCGAGCAATTTGTGCCCCTGCCTGAGGACTATGGAGAAGAACAGACTGAAATAGTGGCCACTGACACTGCCAAACCGGAACCGGCAAAAGTGAAAATCAAATCCAAGCATACAATGCGGATGGGCAGAAAGCTAATCCATGTGAAAGTTATCGACGACAAGCAACCGAAGCGAATTGTAGACCGAAATGGGCAGAATGCCAAGCCGTGTATTTGCGAGCACTGTGGCCGACAATTCAAGGACACCAGCAATCTCAATGTTCACCTGCTGCGACATACCGGCACTAAGCCCTTCGAATGCGAGCAGTGCCACCAGAAATGCTACACTCTCCATTTACTTCGACGCCACCAGTTGAAACACACAGAGGGTCCCTATGCCTGCACTTTTTGCGGTCTGGAATACAGTACGAATAGCTCTCGCGTTAGGCATGAAAGGTAGGAATCTGCATAGTTTTTTATATTGCTCCATTTAAATTGTTTTCCGTTTCACACAGGGAGGCCTGCAAAAAGGGACGAGCGCCGCAGTCCAAGTGGGAGATCATCAAAAAGGGCGAGCGCACTTTCCAGTGAGTTTCTATAGTCATTACTGTTTTTCCCAGCTAACTTGATTATTCCCTTCAGCTGCGAAGTATGCGATCTATGGTTTCTGCGAGCTGGTAACTTCACGCAACACATAAACTCTTCCAGCCACATCGAAAATGAACGTAAAAAGAAACGTAAATCAAAATCAGTGCAGCCTTCCGCAGTAAATACATAAAACAACTGTGGTTAAAAACAGACTCTGGCTTCATTCGTCTTCAACAACTTGTTTTGCACCCGTTTTACGAACGTTCTCCTGGTGCATTTTAGTGTTCGCATGCGTCTTCATGTTGTACTTGTAGCGGAAGTGGACATTGCAGACCTCACACCTAAAAGGGCCATGAGTAACTCAGATTGTCAGTTGTACGTTTAGATAATGGGTATTTAACTTACCAATAAGGACGCTCTCCAGTGTGGATGAGCTCGTGTTCCCGCAGTCGCGCACGCTGGTAAAATCCCTTCAAGCAGACGTCGCACTGCAGCGGCCTCTTTTCGTGAGTCATCTCGTGGCGTTTGAGCTTGTTGGGGTCCGAGTAGCTCTTGCTGCACTGCTGGCACTTAAAGGCATTTGCATCGGTGTGCGCCTTGATGTGCCAGCCCAGCGCGTACTTGGAAGCGTAATGTTTGTGGCACAGCTTGCACTGATAGCGCACATCCTCCCGTGGCTTGGCCATGGGCTTTGGATTGATTCGCTTTACGATGAGACGGGGAGCTGCGTTATGTACCTCACTGGCAGCAAGGATAGATATTACACATTTAGGAGCTGATTATATAAAATATATTTACCACCCACCTTTCGTGCTTTTGGCGAGCTCCCGCGTAGGCAAACGTTTCGCTGCAGAAACGGCAGGCGAAGGGCGATTCTCCACGGTGGCGAATGCGTATGTGGATATTGCGCATGTAGGCATCGTAAAAGGTCTTCGGGCACTCGCTGCATTGGTAGTTCTTGGTGCGACTGTGCCGGAGCATGTGCATCCGCAGGTTGTGGGACATTCGGAACGCCTGGCCGCACTGGTCGCACACAAAGTTTGGGGGCTTTGCTCGCAGCTGAGCCCGTCGTATGAGGTTCCTCTCTTCTTTGGTCTTTGGATTGGCCCTTCGTTTTTTCCGTTGCTCGGAAACGGATGTTTTCTTGGTCTTGGGTTTCTGTTCAACAGGTGTCTCCTTTTCAGGTATATTTCGTTCATGTCCTGTATATTGTGATATCAGTTCTTTAAAGATCTTGGCTCCCAAAGCCACACTGAGTGGATCCTGGGTGGCGGGTTCGGGGGAATCTATTTCTAGCTCTTGACTTAACTGGTCGTCTGAGGTGGCCGCATCGTCCACAGGTCCTGCATCATTTTCTGCATCTTCAATCTCTTCGAGATGGGCGTATTCTGAATCCGAGATCAGTTCCGCATCTGATGGTGTAGAGTTTTCCTTCAAAATCTCGTATTCGGATTTTGCTAATTCACTTTCACACGGAGGCTGAGCCTGGTTAATTTTAAGCTCCGTACTAATGCACAACTCCCGGAAATTAATGGCCTGATCCAAGGACAAAAGACAAGCAGGACACATAAGTTGAGGTTCGTCTGATTTGGGGCTGATCTGAAATAGTTTTGGGATTTTTTTATTATTTGCTCAATCTGGAAAGAGTAATATACACACCCAAACACCGCTTATAACTTCGATGTGAAAGAGCAGAATACTGTTTGCCTGATCGAAGAGATCCTTTGCCCTTTCGTCTACGGTAAAGTCCTGGTAGCATATTCGACACTTCGCTAGCCTTTCCGACCTATCGCCTTCGATAAGTGGATCATATTGCATGGTTACAGTCTCTGACAAATCAACCTCTTCCTGTTCTGAACTGACTAAAGTAGACGCCGATGGAACAACAGATTTTTCTTCTTCTTCCGCCAGAAGCTGTGCCACCAGTTGCTGGTTTCTGCGGCGCTGTGTTCTTTCACTGAGGGCTCGTTCCGATGGACTTTCTTGGTTTTTGTCTATGCAGGGAACGGCACCCGGTCGCAAAGTACGCTTTTTGGCCAGACCTGTATTAAATATGTAAATTAAGTTGTTTATTTTCAATGCCCTACAGATTGAACTTACCCATTTCGAACTTTAAAGATCCCTCAATGTCCTCGTCCTTGAAATGTTCGATGCAAATGCAGGGATTCTTCCATTTCAAAGAGTTCTCGGTAAAGCCGCAAAATGTGAGCCACCTTTTGAATGTTTCCGGGCACTTGGGAAACCGGAAGAACCCAATCTGCTGCTGCTGATCCGGATCCCTTTTGGATCTGCTCACAAAAGCATTCCTGCAATTGGGCACGGCACATCTCATATTTTGAGAAGAAAGTGCGCAATGTTTATTAAATTTATATTTAGCATACGATTAGTGTGACCAGATGCAATAACAGCACGATAGCCGGAAAGCTAGGTGACTATTATGATGACGTCACAAAATAAAGTCGGTTCGTCCAAAATAACATTGTTAAAACTCAAAAAAAGCTTAATTTTTTTTAATTATTAATATATTTTAGTGTAGATAAAATAAAAATATAAAAAAAAATATTTTAAAATTTTAGATTGCAAACCCATTATTTTTTTTTTTAAATAATTTAGAACCACTTAGCTCCCAAGAGAAAATGCTGAAATTGTCTAAAATAAAAAATTTTAAAAATTGAGCGGTAACAACATAAGTTTATTTTTATTTGATTTGATTTGCTTGCGAACCAAGAAAGTGTAAAAGCACTTTGGAAACAAAAGAAAGCTATTTGCTGCTCGTTTTACACCTTTTGGACAGTTCAAACGAAACATAAAGTTATATTTCATTTTAAAAAGTTGTGAAATAAACGTACATGGATAAATACATACGGGTAACTAATACTATTCTCTACTTTAGATTTAGAAATATATAAGTTAAGGAGTGGTAGTTGACCCTAATTCTTGGTCTTTTCCACCCGACCAGTCTTGACTCCATTAAGCTTCGGTTTTGGATCCTGTTTGGCGGGTTTCTTCGACTTCTTTTTCTTCTTCTCAAAGGCGCTGAAGTCGACGGTATCGGAGTCGTCCTCGTTGCCGTACTTCTCCATCAGACGGTCCATTAGGGAGCCAAAGTTAGACTCCCGCTGATTGCGACGCGCCAGAATCATTTGCTGTAGATCGCCGCCGTTGTCGGCCAGATCCTGGTCGTCCTTCTCCTTTTGCCGGCGCTTGAGTCTCTCCTTAATAACCTTGGCCTCTTTGAATTCACGGGCATACTTCTGATGGCGCTTTTTACGCTTAGCAGCCGGCTCCTCGGTGAAGATCTTGTACTCGGGCACCTCGCCGCTGGCAATCATGTCTTGGACAATCTTTTGGATGCGTGGCTCATCCTCCACCTTCATGAAGGGCACATGGTTCATCAAATAGTTGATGCACCCCTTGCCACCAAGATACGCCTTCTTTATGTCCGTGCGCTCCAAGTCCGAGTCCACGTACTCCTTTTCGTAGTTGTTGATGTCCTCCTCGGAGATGGGTTTGAATATCTTGCTCCAGAGGTCCAACCACGACGAGAGCTTAGACTCGGCCTCATCGTCGTCGTCTATCAAGCCCTGTTCGTCGTATAGCGCCCGTTTTTGGGAGTCCGTCAGCACCTGGTAGAGCTTCGACAGCACCTTGAACTTTTCAGTGGACTCCTCTTTCTGCTCCTCGGGCACTCGGTCCGGATGGACGAGCAGGGAGAGCTTGTGGTATGCCTTCTTTACCTGCTTCTCAGCGGCGGTTTTTTCAAGGCCCATTAGCTGGTACACATCCCGCGTCCCAAAGAATTTCTCGCACAGCTCCAGCGTCGACATTGCGAATTTTGTTGCTATTATTTTTCGGCACAAACACCACCACAAAATGCGCCAAAATGCCACGCGAGTGTGACCGCGCAGTGGGTGAGCAAAAAATATCTGATGTAGAAGGTTCAAGACTGAGCTACGGTTATTAGCTATTTTACATATGTTGTCAAATAGTCGTTGGTAGCCTGTTAGTAATTTTTTTTATTTTATTTCGATTTAGCCATGTAATCAACATGAAAACAAAAAACAATCGCCTACAGGCTATTTTTAATACTAATCGTGTCTTAGGATATTACTTACGTTATCAGGCCAGGGCTGGAGAGCTTCTTCCTGACGTCAAGTTTTCATACTAGGTGTATGACTCCGATAAGTCTTTACCAGATTATTAAATAGTGCATTTCTAGGCTGCGGCCACACTGTCGGCTAATCGCAGCCAACTTCCCTTTGCCGGCCAGCTCTTCCCTTCTTTTCTTTTTCATCGTCTGAAGAGAACAGACATGGTAAGTTTTTATCTTTCGACAAAATAAACCAAGTGAATATTTTAGTTGGATATTGTGAAAGTAAAGTAAAAATTCGGTGAAAGGGTTTTGATAACCAGCAATCGATGGCGGTAAAATTGCGCTTTAGCGGCTTTTGCTAAAAATGGTCTAGGAATTTTTTTTTTTTTTTTAATGGATACCTTGGGGCCTAAACATTAATAAAAAAGTGGCGGAAAGCTTAAATTTTAATTATTTATGTGTTAAAATTGCAATTATTACTGCCGCGAGGCAACCGGTTTTAGAACATTGCCATGTTTTTCTAGCGAAAAACTTTACCGTTGAGAATGTGTTGTGGATGAAGAGTGCTGCAATTGTGTGAAAATTTAAAAACAAAAGAAATTTAACAATTTTACCATGTCAGGCACTGCCAATTTTACTACTGAACGCTGTAAAGGTTGCGAAATGACTCAGAGTGATTTTATAGTACTGAGTGAATACCCAGAAAAGCTATGGCCAGTTGCTTTTTTGCTATTTTTACAAATAAATACTTAGAAATCAAGCTTTCCGCCACTTTTTTATTAATGTTTAGGCCCCAAGGTATCCATTAAAAAAAAAACAAAATTCCTAGACCATTTTTAGCAAAAGCCGCTAAAGCGCAATTTTACCTCGATGGCTTTTAAGCAAACGCCAAATAGTTTTGAAACCTATAATTTTACGGGTGCAACGTCCACGTGTTCACATAACCTCAAAGTAAAATGCAATAGTTGCTGATGGTTTTTCACCACCTATTTTACAGTCTCATCGTAAGTTCTCGGCGCCTCGCCATGGTTCCATGGCCTTCTACCCCAAGAAGCGCTCAGCGCGCCACCGCGGAAAGGTTAAGGCTTTCCCCAAGGACGATGCCAGCAAGCCCGTCCATTTGACCTGTTTCATCGGCTACAAGGCCGGTATGACGCACATTGTGCGCGAGGCCGATCGTCCTGGATCCAGTAAGTACCGGTATCCTTCGAAATACATCCGAAATTACCCTTCCATGATGAGTAAACTAGAAGATTTATGGTTAGAACACAACTGATTAACCGTGATTATCTCAACTAGGGCGGACTGATTAAGCCCATTTAATGGCTTATTCTTGTAGAGTTCTTTGACATGTGTTTAATAGCTTGTTTTCTTGCCTTGCAGAGATCAACAAGAAGGAAGTTGTCGAGGCCGTCACCGTTTTGGAGACCCCGCCCATGATTGTGGTCGGTGCCGTCGGCTACATCGAGACTCCCTTCGGTCTGCGTGCTCTGGTCAATGTTTGGGCCCAGCACTTGTCCGAGGAGTGCCGTCGTCGCTTCTACAAGAACTGGTATGTATTAAGGACCACGTGTAGCCTTTTCTTCCTCCCCGGTCGCCATTTTGTTTGTACTGGGTACACGCACACAAACCACGTGGTTTTCTACTAGCGTCTGAATGATGATACGATGGTATCTGAATGAGCAATATACTGTTGAGAAGCCTTTTACCATCTGCTGCCTTCCTTCTGATCGGCCTCGTAGAAAACTGTTGATTTTATAGCTTAAATGTTATATATAGTTAATTTGCCTTTTTTTTTTTCGACATTTACGGATTTATTCAATTCAGATAACTCTTAAAAGACTTTTATAAAGTATAATAACCAACTCATGAATTTGTGTGTGTTGCCCTTTACGATGTCCATGCGAATTAAAGACCCACTTTACTAAATTTAAAATGCAATCATAAAGTTCTTCGATCAGCTTGCTGAGAGAGCTTTTCAAATCGCTGAAAGTTGTGTGAGCTGTCAAGTTTTTGGTCTTTGGCTTATTGCCTTGGTTAACTGAAATTACTTGACGAGTGAGCACGACATGGAAGACTGCATCTCCGCTCGCCATTAGTTTGCGATGAGGTGCACTTCCTGTTCTTTCTCGCCCCCACATAAGAAAAAAAGAGAACAGCGCGGCTAAGAAGTTGGAGTTGTTGAAACACACCCCAATGGATTGCATCCCGAGGCTCATGTCGTTTCTGACCACTGCATCTTCAACTTGACCATCATCGTCCATTAGGTACAAGAGCAAGAAGAAGGCCTTCACCAAGGCCAGCAAGAAGTGGACCGATGATCTTGGCAAGAAGAGCATCGAGAATGACTTCCGCAAGATGCTGCGTTACTGCAAGGTGATCCGTGTGATTGCCCACTCGCAGGTAAATATATATTTCAATTCTATTGCATTGTATTCCATATTCTCGACGTCCTTGGCCTTGTTGCGCCATTGGTGCTGGGTCTTCGGACTCGGTGCTTTTGGTGCGCCTGGCCTAAAAAGCATTCGCGCTGTGTTTTTCAATACACAGTTTAGGGATGCAACGTCGCAGAGCAAACTGCCCCTCGGGTGGCGGAGCTTGATATATTCCAGTAACGGTGCGGAGCCGCTTAGGCGATGATAGCGCGGTTAAACCATATCACGCACAGTCCCACAACCAAAACAGCCTGTGGATGAAACTAACTGAAGTCCTTTGTTGTCTTCCTTTTAGATCCGCTTGATCAAGCAGCGCCAAAAGAAGGCTCATGTCATGGAGATCCAGCTGAACGGTGGCTCCATCGAGGACAAGGTCAAGTGGGCTCGTGAGCACTTGGAGAAGCCCATCCAGGTCAGCAACGTGTTCGGCCAGGACGAGATGATCGACTGCGTCGGCGTGACCAAGGGTAAGGGTTTCAAGGGTGTCACCTCGCGTTGGCACACCAAGAAGCTGCCCCGCAAGACGCACAAGGGTCTGCGCAAGGTGGCCTGTATTGGAGCCTGGCATCCGTCGCGTGTGTCCACCACCGTGGCACGTGCTGGTCAGAAGGGTTACCACCACCGTACCGAGATCAACAAGAAGATCTACCGCATCGGTGCTGGCATCCACACCAAGGACGGCAAGGTAAGCATTTGTAGTAGCCGTGAATCCTTTACATTAATCCTATGAGGCTGGGGAAATCTTTTGCACTGATGATAAACAACCATAAAACAACGACATCGAAACTAAAAAAGCTTGATGAACCGTGATATTTATAATGATAGGACTGATTGCAGATTCTCACCCAAATAAGATTGAATGAAAAATGTTTCTGCTGAGATATCAAAAGACTAACTGAATTATTTTCGCTTACAGGTTATCAAGAACAACGCCTCCACCGAGTACGATCTGACCGACAAGAGCATCACCCCCATGGGTGGCTTCCCCCACTACGGTGAGGTGAACAACGACTTCGTCATGATCAAGGGCTGCTGCATCGGGTCCAAGAAGCGCATCATCACCCTGCGCAAGTCGCTCTTGAAGCACACCAAGCGCTCTGCCCTGGAGCAGATCAAGCTCAAGTTCATCGACACCTCGTCCAAGATGGGTCACGGTCGCTTCCAGACCCCTGCCGACAAGCTGGCCTTCATGGGTCCGCTCAAGAAGGATCGTCTCAAGGAGGAGGCCGCCGCTGCCACCAGCGCTGCTGCTGCCGCCGCCACCACCACCGCTTAAGCAAAATGTCGTGTCCACGATTAGTAGAGACAGGCAGACGTCTCTACCGCTTTCTGCTGCGGTAGGGCAGCGATCAATAAAAAATATTTTGACTAAGCTAATCTGCAGTATTACATTTTAACTGGGGGATAACAACCGTTTCGGGTGCTTTGGCAACAGTATATTCATAATCAATTAAGCTACTTAGGTATTTATTTTTAGTGGTGTTTTAAAAAGCAAGTCTAGATTAGGTGTACATACATAGAAATTTGTTAAAACTGACCCTATGAAAAATAAATAATCAAATGAAAAACAATTTTACATCTTGTAAATATTATTTTGCTGAAAGCAAAACGTAAATCACATGTTTGTGTGTTTGTCTAGACAATTTGGAAATGCACAAGTAGTCCAATGCCTGTAAAAAACTCAACAACGAGGAAGGCAGGACCACAGTCTTCATGACTAGCTCGGCTAATGTCTTAATACGAAAGCTACGGCTGCTAAAAGCCCCCCTATTTATATGTTGATTATGATTTTTTTAGTAGGTAATCCAATCGCATTTGGTTTACTATGGTATATGGTACGATATCGCAATATTTATGCAGCTGAGTTCTGGAGAATGTCTGGTCAGGAATATGCAGTCTAACCCTGCTGCAATACCATATAAAAGCAGGCCCACTGTCTATGGTCCCTCAGTTGCAGTATAGAAACCAAGAACAAGCAACATGGCTTTCTCAAAAGTATTTCAAGTGATCCTTCTATCTGTCGTTGGGATTACCTATGCCGTGGACTATTGTGCTCTACCAACTTGCCTGGACAAACATATAGCCTGCAACAACAAGGGAGTAAGGAAGAATTATTCTTTATTTTAAATCGTTTGCAATTGCCGTATTGCATTTTTAGAACTTCAGTGAGAACTGCCCCAAGGATGTGCGAGAAATAAAGATCGAGCCTCATCACAAACTGATTCTCACCCTTTTCAACGAACTGCGCAACAATGTGGCTGGAGGAAAAGTCGAAGGCTTACCCAAGGCTGTCCGCATGGCTAAGATGTCCTGGTGCGAGGAGCTTTCCCACCTGGCGCTTCTTAACGTGAAGACTTGTGAATCCTTGCCAGACAAGTGCCGCAGCACGGAGAGATTTGCTTACGCCGGCCAGAACAACGCTATATTTAGTTACAGTGGAGCCGAGACTGAGTACACCGATGCCGAGATTGTAAAGGAGCAGATTGAGAACTGGTTTGCTGAGCGCCTAAATGCCTCCCCCGAGATCTTGGCCAGCTTCCCCGAGGACTTGCCCAATAAGGGAGTGGCCAAGTTCACCATAGCCGTGGCTGAGAAAAACACCCATGTGGGTTGTGCCGCCGTGCGCTTCTCTCGCGACTTCTACAACCACTTTGTGCTCACCTGCAACTTTGCCACCTCGAACATTGCCGGCCAGCCGGTTTACACTCCTGGAGAGAAGGCTACCACTGGGTGCAAGAACCGATATGGAGCCGCTTTTGATTATCCCAATTTGTGCTACGCCAAGGAGATCTATGACAATGAAAAGGTCGTTGAGGGAACCCAGGTTTTCTAGTAATGAACGGATTTGGAATGAATGATGATTTATAAATAGTAAAAATAAATAATAAATTAATAAATAAATAAATAATAAATTCAAATGAAGTTTATAACGGCTTTTTACTTTTCTATCAGCTGTGTTACCAGCAAGTGGGCAGCTCCCATTTTGGGGGATAATTATACCCATTACGTTGGCCATATGTCGTTTTATATTGTTTTCGCGTTTAAGGAAATCACAAGATGGGGAAAAAATTTTCTGCTTCAAAATTTTATTTATTTAAGATTAATAGAAATTCGATTTTCTGTATAATAATACACCTAAGCAAAATGCGGAGAGTTTTCTGTAACAACTATTTGTTTATGAAATACAGGGTATTCCGTAATTAATCAGCTCATCCCCTGCTTTCCTATGTTGTTTTGTAGGAGATTTTCGCCGGGTCGAGATGTTACGCGAAGCTTTAAGGATTGGCAGCAGGCGCTGGTATAGCTACAAGTCAGTTCGCCGTCCAAATCTGAGTGCCACAGCCGCTCCTAAGGAGGAACTGAAGCAGAAGCAGCCAGGAGACAAGCCTTCCGTCGAAAATGGCAACGGTAGCCTGGCCAAACAGCTGCGTGCAAAGATTCTGGCCACTGGACCCATTCCTGTGGCAGAGTACATGCGAGAGGTGCTGACCAATCCTCAAGCGGGTTACTATATGAACCGGGATGTGTTCGGTCGGGAGGGGGACTTCATAACCTCACCGGAAATATCACAAATATTTGGAGAGGTAAGTTATTCAGTTTCGCAAAGCCTCCTGGTAACTTTTTCTTTCCCTGAAGCTCATCGGGGTCTGGCTGGTGAGCGAGTGGCGTAAAATGGGCAGCCCGTCGCCCTTTCAACTTGTGGAGTTGGGACCCGGCCGAGGCACTCTGGCCAGAGATGTGCTGAAGGTTATAACCAAATTCAAGCAGGACGCCGAGTTCTCTATGCACATGGTGGAAGTTAGTCCATTTTTGAGCAAGGCGCAGGCCCAGCGCTTTTGCTATAATCATGAAATCCTGCCGGAGGACTCGCAGATGCCACATTATCAGGTGGGCACCACAGCCAGCGGGATAAAAGCCTTCTGGCATCGCCGGCTGGAAGATGTACCACAGGGATTTTCCCTAGTGCTGGCCCACGAGTTCTTTGATGCGCTGCCCATACACAAGCTGCAGTTGGTCGATGGGAAGTGGCAGGAAGTGCTCATCGATGTTGCTTCTAATAGTGAAAAAGACCCGAAGCAAGCGGACTTTCGGTATGTGCTCTCACGCAGTCAAACTCCGGTATCGAGTGTGTTCCGTCCAATGCCTGGTGAGACGCGATCCTGTCTGGAATACTCATTGGAGACAGAGCGGCAAGTGGGACTCCTGGCCGAACGCATTGAACGGGACGGCGGCATTGCTCTTATCATGGATTATGGACACTTCGGCGAGAAAACCGACACTTTCCGGGCCTTCAAACAACACCAACTTCACGATGCCTTGGTGGAGCCAGGCAGCGCTGATCTCACAGCAGATGTGGACTTCAAGCTGGTTAGGCACACGGCAGAGAGCCGCGGAAATATCCACTGCTGCGGACCCGTAGAGCAGGGACTATTCCTGCAGCGAATGCAGGGGGAGGCACGACTGGAGCAACTAGTGGCACATGCGCTGCCCGAGAACCAGCAAATCATTCGTTCTGGCTACAAAATGCTCACGGATCCAGCGCAAATGGGAACTCGCTTTAAGTTTCTGGCCATGTTCCCCGGTGTGTTGGCTTCTCATCTTGACAAATATCCCGTTGTCGGATTTAGTTAGTAGTAAATTTAAGATCTGATTTTAAGGTTTTAAATATGTTGCACATGATTGTTAAACAAAATACGAATGTTATTTCTTTTGGAATGAAGCATTGATCGCCTGCATCTCTGCTGTGGTGAACTGGAGCACCGCCGAGATGGCATTTAGCATATGACGCTTGCCATCCGCATCGCGGGTCACAATGTAGCTAATGATCACGTTCTTCAGGTACTCCAAATTGGCGCCCTCGCGTGTCTTGCAGCGTTCGAGTCTGAAATAAAAGGAAGGAACTGCATTACTCGTTCAATTAGTGGTTAGATTTTAATATGACCAACCTGTCCACCTGCTCTTCGAGACATTCAATCTTCTCATGCATCTCTTGCTGCGAGGTGACCTTGTCCTGGATGGCCTTTCTCAGCGTCGATTCGGCGGCGTACTTGGCTTTGCGTAGGCTGGTGATTTCGATGTCCTTCCGAGCCAATTCGTTGGCATAATGCAGCATGTGACAGTTCTCGCCCAGCGACATTTTCTTGGAGCGCACCTTCAGCTTCCGTTCGCGTTGTTCTCCCTCTACCTCTACACTGTCCGCGTCAGAGGAGTAGTTGAAAGATTCTGCGGCGGCCTCTAGTGTGGGAGTGGCCAGGTTGCTGCCCACACCAGTGGCCGAGTGAAAGACCTCGAAGGAGGTCTGCAGTGTCTTGATCTCCTGCTCCTTCTCATCCAGAAGCTGCAGTGATCGCTGGCGCTGCTTTTGCAAAAGTTGCTCCAGCTCGTTTAGCTTGCAGCGTGTTTCGTTTTCCAACTCCGCCTTGGCCTCCTGCCACTTGGTTCGCTCGCTTTTCAAAGCCTGTCGCAATTTTTCACCTTGCTGCTTGAGTTCGATTTCGGCTTCGTCGATGTTACGATTGAGCACCTGCACCTTTTCTTGCAGCGTTTGGATGTGCGAGTGCTGCAACTGAACCTTTTGTTCGAGGAGTTGTCGCTGCTGTTTAGCTGCTTCGAGCATTTGCTGGGCTCCCTGGAGCTGCTGCTCACAATGGGCGTGACTTTCGGCTCGCGATGTGGTTTGGCCGCTAAAAGAAAGAATCTCTCCGAGATCCAAAGGATTGGCAGATCGGGCATTGGCATTGGTGAGTAGTTTTTTAAGGCGCACCATCTCGTCCACAAGCGTGGCTACATCCACATCTTCATTAGAAGTATTTAATTTGGATGTAGGGCGAACGTGGGACTGCTCTATATCCTGCAGCTGTTGCTTAAGATCGTGTATACTTTCCTGATCCTGCTGGCGCAGGCGATCATAGCTGCCCACCGTGGTACTGAGCTCCGCTAGCCGCGCCTCCAGACTGGCCACACGATCCTCGTGAAGGGCCGCTTGCTTGCGACTCTGCTCCTCCGCCCGTAGGACACGTCTCTGTTCCTGGCGAATAGCCACCGCATGCTGATCTTTTAACTGCTGCATCTCGAGTCTGACCTGCTGGAGGAGAGCAGCACTATCTGCACTGGCAGCTGCAGCTGCCGACTGCTCTGCCTTCGTCTGGAATTGTTTCAGCTGGGAGCGTGCCTCCTTCAGCTGGGATTGCAGGTCTCGCAGGCGTGTGTTCTCCGCCTCGTTGCTGGCGAACTGCGTCTTGAAATTGTTCAGCTGCATTTCGATGTTGTCCTTCAAATGTCGTTCGTCGGCATAGAGCTTTTGAAGCTCGCGGATCATAAGCATCTGGTTGTTAGTTTCCTTTTCGCGCTCCTGCCGCTCGACAATCCATTTGGCCTTTACCTCGTCCACGTCGCTCTTTGCTTTCGCGGTCTGTTCCTTGGTACGGGCATGGAGTTCTTGGATGGACTGCTCCTTCTGTGCAATTTGGCTGCGCAGTTGCTTCTTGTCCGCCTGGAAGGAGGCCTCCATGCGGGATTTCTCGGCGGAGAGCGTGGCCAGTGAGTTCATGAGGGTGATTATTTGAGTCTGCAGTTGTCCTTCGGCGGGAGGTGCAGGTGGACCCGAAGCACCCTCAACCGCTCCGTCCGCGCAATCTGTGTTGGTGTTTTGCGACTCCACCTCTCTGGCCGGAGATGCCGGCTCGACCACCGCCGTAGCCTCCGCATGCGCGGCCAGACTTGTTTCCAAAGCTTCCTTTTCCTTCAGCAGACCCTTGTAGGCAGTGACCACGTCTGCAAATTAGGTTAATCATTGGGAATGCACTGGGAAATTGCTAATTGTTTACCTTTCAATCGCTTCTCGTAGCGCCCTAGTTGCTCTTTTTGCGTGGAGACAAGCGCCTCTAGTTCCCTCTGCCGCTTCTCCATCTCGTTTCGGTTTGGAATTAGTCGCTCTACCCTCAGTTGAATTAATTATTTATTTTATTTCTCTCCCGTGGCATTTTTACATTTCCCCAATTAACAACCTTAAGCAGCTTAGAGCTGGGAAACAATCGATGGCACTATCGAGGTATCGAATTTTTGCCTTTCTGAGTCACCATCGATAGTTTTTTTGACACTATCGATGGAGCAGGGCATTTCTTTCATTACTGACATTAGCAAAAAATATTAGGTTTGGTTGCAAGACTTTGGGTAAGAGAAATGAAAAAAAACTAATGCCTCTAATTTAAAAAACTTCGTTCCAAAATTTCTGTGATCCCGCAACCTCAAAGGAGTCAGAGCTTATGTTCAGCAAAGTTGGATTCATTATAAGTAACCGGGGTTTCGCTTAAGGCGAATAATGCAGACATTTTGCTATTTTAACAAAGAAATGCATGATACAACATTTTTTTTTAATTCATATAAAAATGACTTTCATTTTGTTGATTTATCTTATGTTTTATGTTGAGGATATGATAGAATAGGTTTGAACTTTTTATTTCTGTTTGTAGTAATTTATACAGCACTAAAAACCTTAATTTGAAAAAAATTAAATAAATATGCAAAATGCTATCGATACTATCGAATTTTCGCTATGAAAACATCGAAACTATCGAATGGCGCGACCATCGATAGTTTCCCAGCTCTAAAGCAGCTGGCAGGCGGGGCTGCCAACTGGTCGGGATTGATAAGCAACTAAAAATCACCAATGTTGTGATTTAAATAAGTAACAATTTGTTTTCGGTTTTTCAAAATGATGTTGTTGTACAATGTTTTTTTTTTGATTTTAAAAACGAATGTTTTTATGTTCCCCGTAAAAAAAAAGAATAAGTGCAAAGTTTGTAATTAAAACTATCTAATTTATTTTAGAGTTTAATTATCGGCTTCTTCGTCCTTCATCATCTGTTCGATAAGTTTCTTTCGTTCCTCGGCCTGACGCATCTTTCGCATGACCAGATCTTCGTAGTCCGTAGATGATGCAGTGCTTCCAACGGTAGATCCTTTACATTGTTGCTTTTCGTCTGCCGGCGGCTTTACCCATTCGAAATGCAGTGGCTTGGCGGGATCGCCCTTTTCGTAGGCCAACACCATGTCACATGCTTCCCGGGTGGCCAGCTCCACCATTGCACGTCCGCGTTTCTTGCTGTTGACCACAAGCGCCACCACGTCGCCATACTTCTTTAGGTACTTGAGCAGCTGTTCCTGCGTGTAGTCCTGGCCAGGCTCTGCCTTCCACTTCATCTTGATGCGATGCTGGGCGGAGTCGAACTTGGCCGGCTGTTGCAGGACTCTTTGCTTCTCAGCGTGATTGCGCAGGAATTGCTCCTGCATAGCCCGTTGCTCTTCCTCCAGGAGTCGGGATCCCTCCCGGCGCAACCGCTCAATCTGCTCCTGGAGAATCTCCTCGTCGCTTTTGGCCACCGTACTGTATGGTTGACTCTTAGCTAGTTTATGCAAGGCTGCTCTCTCACGCTCTTCCAGTTCCTGCTTGAGTTTCTGCCGCTTTCCGTCCAACTGGCGACTTCTTAGTTCTGCAGCCTTTTTGGCCTTCAGCACTTTGTCGTACGCAGCTCGAGCGGATTCATCCGAGAGGATTTCTAGCGCCTTGGATAACTCGTGGAATCGCTCGACCGCCTTGGGATTATCCGGATTTTTGTCGGGATGGCAATCAAGGGCTTTTTTACGGTACGCCTTACGTATCTCATTTTGATCAGCCTCTAAGGAAATACCCAATAGATCATACAGATTGATGTCAGTAAACTTTTTGCTGGCCATTTTTGAAGACTTTCTTGTCCTATTTGGTCAGAATATTAGTCTGGTATAAAGAAAATAGTTGTGTTTAATTTCACAATGACGGAAAAAAGTAAATAAAACAACTTACTCAACAAATATAAATAAGATTTTTGTTTTTCTGCGTACCTTTTTTAAAAAGCCGTTTCGCTTCTTAAGACAAAAATTTAATTATTATAAAAAGTACATATTTTATTTTAAAAGTTTTTTATAGTCTTGTTTTCTACTATAACAGAAAACGGCTTGCAATGAAATGAAAAGTAAAACATTTTTTTAGCTATTGTTTACCGGATCAGCTGTTCTGCGCAAAGAGTTGGCAGCACCGCAATACAACGTGCCCATTTGTTTGGCGTGGATTTATCCCAATAGTCGCAATAAACCCTATGCATGAATAATGATTCTAAGCGCCTAAAAAAAGTACGTTATGAGCATCTATCACGACGAGGTGGAAATCGAGGACTTCGAGTACGACGAGGAGGAAGAGATGTACTACTATCCCTGTCCATGCGGCGATCGATTTCAAATCTCCAAGGTAACCGGGCGTATACGCAACCTATTCAGACCCTCAATAATTTGATATTTTACTTAAGGAGGAACTGATCGAGGGTGAAGAGGTGGCCACATGTCCCAGCTGCTCATTAGTCATCAAGGTCATATACGATCCGGTAAGTGATTCAGTCAATCAACATAGAAACTACTAACTAAAAGGATTATTTTAAATTCTAGGAAATGTTCAAGGCGGAAGAAGACGAGGAATCCGCACTTAACGAGAAACTCGGCGACTTAAAGCTAGAGAAGAACTAAAACTAATCCCTTTGGTATAATTAAATAGTTTTTATTTATATATTTTTATATATCGACTTTATTTTAGTGTAAATAATACGTTGACTAGTAAAACAATGAATTCAAATTAATTAAGCTCGAGGAAACATTTCGATTTGTTATGGATTATTATTTTGGTTAATTACAAATGATTTATACACACATTGAACAATATCTAAAACTAAAGTGTGGGGTTTAGTTAATACATAAATATACTGCACTGAGCACTTTTTGGTCTAAGTGTTTCACAAGCAGAGCGCAATATAATACCCAACGGAAAGTGCAAATTTTGGAAACACAAATGAAAGGAACTGTGGCGTACCAAGTGTGGAAATGTGGGTAATACATAGAGTTACATGCAGAGAAGCGGTTGGAAAAATATATATATATATAGATATATATATGCATATAACATACAGTTACCACTTTCTGCTTACGATTTAGGAATTCGACTTAAACTTAGCACGTAAATATTGTTACGATTCGTCATGCAGCATCCAGTGCATTGGATATTCGCTTCTGATTTCTTTTAGAGAGCGTGCTCATTCAGCAAGTGAGTGGAGGACAACTCCTTCCATTAGATGCGCTTAAATGCCGTCTGCAATGTGTTTCGAGTGTGGGAGGGAACTACTGATTCTACTGTTCCAGCCAGGATCCAGTAACGGCATTGGGTGACTTAAGCTGCAAATCAAACAAAAACTCACTAATTGTATACATAGCTTTTGGTTTGCCAAGCTCACCTTTATGTTGAACTGCTTCAGAGTGCTCTCCAGTGCCATGGCATTGCCCGAGAAGTAAGCGGCGATTGCATTGTGCAGTAAAATTAGTTGCTTGTGCATCACCTTAATCTATCGGCAAATAATAAAAGATTAACTTCTATTATACTGGGTTTTCCACGATGCTCTACTTACGCGATTCTCATCAAGAAATTGCATTTTAACCGCCACGTCAGAGCGCAGTTTCTCGTATTGTTCCTTGTGCTGCGCAAAACTGCGCTGAGTCTCCTCCAGCGCCGCAGCCGATGGTGTCAGCTCTGGCTTGGTGTTCTCCAAGTCCATGCGGTATGCATCGAACTCGACTCTAAAAAAGTGATTGGCATTTGTTTTCATTTTTTTCATTGTACAAGAAATACTTTTAGAAATAAGTAGGGCTTGGCTTTCAGTGGGTTCATTTGAAGATAAGGAAGTGCCTCGTTCTGATATTATTTAATTCCATTGGAGCATAATGGAAATTTTTTCAAGGCCAAAAATTTGATAACAAATTATTAAAATACGAAACAAATCAAATATTTTATCAATTATTAAAAAAAAAAATTATTACGTACGTATTTATATACTTTTATGGCGTGCAACGATATAATACACAAAAAACAACTATTCGTATCCGCTTTACATAGATAGCAATCGTAAAACTGCAGTTTGTTTAAGGGGAGTAACCTTTTGTATAAAACATTCAAAACCATTACATGGAATATGGCTCACAAAACGAAAAAATCGCACAGTTTGTGAGATGCATATATATTGGGCTTCAGTTTACCTGGCTGTTTCGTACTGTCGTATCGTCAGCAGGGTGTCGTCGATCGTCTTGTTGCACAGCGTGTTAACCGACGAAATGAAAAAGTTTAGCGCATTGAGGAGAAGCTCGCCGTTCTTGGTGAGATTGCGCTGTGTCTCCGAATTGCAGGTGAACTCTTTCTGCAGCTCGGGGTTCTTCTGAGCCAGATCAGCGAAAGAATCGGCCAGAGCGTGCTGAGTGACGACCACATGCTGAAAGTGCGAGCTGAAGGCTCGCGTTAACCTTAGTATGGACAGATACTTACGCTGCGTCTCGCGCAGCTGCTCAATCTGGGCTTCCAGCTCCGAATCCACGGTGCGCTGCGATTTGCCCAGCTTCTCCAGCATAATTTGTCGCGTGCACTTATAGGTAGATATGCTCCAGTTCTTAAGGCTGTCGATCTTGGAGGCGCTAGTGCGTATGAGACTGCCGCTCCCGCTGTCCGTAGGGCTTAGGATGCCGTTTCCGGACGGGGGACTGCTGGGCGACATGGGTGTGGTGGGTGCTGTGCAGTAACCAATAAAAAGGATGAGTCAGGGGTCACGAAAGGCATATACGACCAACTCACCTGAGTGGTTCCGAAGTGGCAGACTGTTGGGGGCGCCAAAGGGACCGCCTGCAGACCCATGAACTCCGCCTCCTCCAACGATACTGTGGCTGCTGGCGCTCCCAAGGACCAAGCTGCCTCCTTCGGTGCCCGTGTGCACCGCTCCGCAGCTGTCGTTCAGCGAGGGCGCATCCTTTAGCATTTCGTGTATGCTGCGCTCGCGATCCGCCATGGTGATTACTTTCGCTCGGTTTCCCAGAAACGGTTTAATTGCCTGCGGAAAATTGCTTTTCCTGTCTGCCCGTGAATGTGTGTGGGTGTGTTATAATGTTTAGTGTGCGGTGGCGTTGCAATTAGCAAGCCAAAATCAATATTACACGCTAGGCTCAGCAAGTCTCTAAAACTCCACACATGTACACTCTTCAATACCAAATTCCCTAAAAGGTCCGGTTGAAGTTCCGCAAAACTTTGTTTCTTAAAACTGAAAATCTGTGTGACCGTGCGGCGGTTGAATGCTAAATACCACACTTGCATATGGTGGGCGAAATTATTTTCGTTTGGCCTGTCGGCGTTTCATTATTTTGTTTGTTATTTATGAAACTTGTCAGCGATGCTACCAAACCCAAACGACAAGAAGGATCGCTATGCCAAGTTGTCCTTCCTCGGCGAGGGTCAGTTTGCGATTGTTTATAAGGCCCGCGACACGGTGACCAGTCAAATTGTGGCCGTGAAGAAGATCAAGAAGGGATCCCGCGAGGACGCGCGCGATGGCATCAACAGGACGGCTCTGCGCGAGATCAAGATCCTGCAGGAGCTGCAGCACGAAAACATCATTGGACTGGTCGACGTTTTCGGCCAGTTATCGAATGTCTCTCTCGTTTTCGACTTCATGGACACCGATCTGGAAGTGATTATCAAGGACACCAAGATTATCCTCACTCAGGCGAACATCAAGGCCTATGCCATTATGACATTGAAGGGATTGGAGTATCTGCACCTCAACTGGATACTCCATCGTGATTTGAAGCCCAACAATTTGCTGGTCAACAGCGACGGTGTCCTAAAGATCGGTGACTTTGGCTTGGCCAAGTCGTTCGGCTCACCAAATCGCATTTACACACACCACGTGGTCACGCGATGGTATCGTTCGCCGGAACTTCTTTTCGGCGCCCGACAATATGGAACCGGTGTTGATATGTGGGCCGTGGGCTGCATTTTGGCCGAGCTAATGTTGCGGGTACCCTTTATGCCCGGCGACTCGGATCTGGACCAGTTGACAAGGATATTCGCCACGCTGGGAACACCCTCGGATGCGGAATGGCCGCATTTGGGCAAGCTGCACGACTACATGCAGTTTCGGAATTTTCCGGGCACTCCGCTTGAGAATATCTTTACAGCTGCCGGCAATGACCTGATCCACTTAATGAGTCGTCTGTTTGCCATGAATCCTTTGCGACGGGTGTCCTGCCGGGAGGCTCTTAGTATGCCGTACTTCGGCAACAGGCCCGCTCCCACGGTGGGTCCCAAGCTGCCCATGCCCTCGTCCATTTTGGCCGCCAAGGAAGGCGCCAATCCGCAGGGAGGCGAGGAGAAGCCCCCGCTCAAGCGAAAGCTGGTGGAGACTACCGTTAGGGGCAATGGATTGGCCCAGAAGAAGCGGCTTCAGTTCTAGTGTTAGGTATCTATTGTTTGTAGAATCTTTAATGAATGCATTGCATTATTTAAACCAATTTTATATTTGTTATTTGTGATTGATTTATTGTGGGGAAAAAGCTTCGAAAGGCAATGAATGCTCTTCTTATCTTATCTAAGCTTCTTTTTTTTATAGGTGAGCAAAGGAAAAATTTAAGGCTATTCCTAAAATGAGAATGCTATAATAAAATAGCGAATAAAAAAATATGCTGATTGATAATGTAGAAAAAAACAACTCTAATAAGTTATTGTTTAACGAAGTTATTGAATAACGAAGAATAAACATGAACTACCCATACATTTATTTGGAAACTACTTCCATGGTATTTTTTTCTTGTCGAATCGTGTATTTTAATAGAAACCTTCGGCAGTCATACCGAAGTGGACATCATTATCGGGGATTTCGCGGGACGTAAATGAAGTGCCCTATCATAGAGTGGTTTTAGTAACTCACATTTAGTTCATTCTTTGCTGTTTAAGGTCCGCAAGTAGCTGGAAAATGGGTTACGTATTCATTTTAGTTGGGGCCTACTGTATTACCATGGCTGTGGCAGCAGTCATCTTACTTACCCGGCCCCGTTTAACGAATCCCCAGTCTTTCCGCCAACCGGACAGGATTTGCAGCGCTGAAGAGCCCGACAGCAAATTGCGCAGAAAACTCAATGATCAACGCACACGAAATAGGTTGGTCCAATTAAATCGAACATGGTTCCTGGTGCTTGAGCTTAGTTATCTCCATTTTATTGCAGCCGGCCGGGTGACAAGTGCCCCATGTGTCTGGAGGAGATGAGTCAAGACAATATGCACCCTCTGAAGTGCGGCCATGCAATGGATAAAGAATGCTTTGAGGACTTTCGCTACATTCGCAGGGATTGCCTTCTTTGTGGCCAGTGCGTAAATCCCTCTTTGCCCGGTGATGAATGCTCTATTTGCTGTGAGAAATTGACGAAGAACAATATGGCATTTATGCCTTGCATGCACGCTCTGCATCGCCGGTGCCTAAGGGAGTTAAAGGCGGACGGAAGCCAATCCTGTCCGGTTTGCATTGAAAAATTGTAGGAGTGCCACATATCTTGCAGAGATCTTCATCTACAATCAAAGCAGAAAATGAATGCAACCACAAATATTATCAGGTGGAATGCACTTGGTGCACAAGATAATTAAATAACCAACAAAGAAAAGCGATAAGCAATCTAAGAAAGTCTGTCTTAGCGTGTAATTGTCAAACTTCTTTTTTTAATAAACGACGTAAAATGCCTTAAACAAATGCCTCTAGTACGGGTGCCGTAATCAGTCACCAGCTTAGGTTTTTTTAAAAATGCTCGAAACAGATGCGGTACTGCTCGGCCAACTCAAATGGACCCCAATTACAAAGCCGTTCTCCCCATGTTTAACTAGTTCGTCCAGGCTTAAAAAAAAACGGAAGACATACATACATACTTGAAATATATGATTCATTAAATTTGTTCGAGTATAAATGCAGATAGATATGCTTTCGTTCTACCTATCAATAACTCTGAACAGTCAAACGATAGATAATTAAACCATTTTTAAATTTGCTTGTGACTGATACCCATCATTTAAAATCGTACGCGCAAACAGGCAGACCGTTCCCGAACATTTCGACCACCTTTCTGGGCAAGTCTAAGCCATGTTGCGGTGCTCTGAAGGGGTTTAAAAAAGTAAAAAGTAAACAAAACGAAAAGCTGATTGCAGTATTGGGTTTAAGTAGCCGTTAAGTATAAATCTTTTTCTTAAAGTGGACAGATTAATTTTAAGCATTTTGGCGACTAGGTATTAACAATAGGTGGCGATAGCAAATCCCAGTGTTACCGGTCAAGCTGAGGTTAGGCTACCCGCGTGTATTGATCAGGGAAGATTAGCGGGTTGTTCCAAAATGCAGCTGCTGTTAAAAGCTTGGACGCGCATTTAATAATTTTTGTAAGACCTTAATCGTGTATTTTAATGGAAGCCTACTGCGGTCACACCAAAGTGGAAATCCACTTTATTTTTCGGGGATTTCGCGGAAACTTAATGGAGTGCCTTATCAAATAGTGGTTTTAGTTACCCAAATTTAGTTTATTATTTGCGTTGTCAAAGGTTCACAAAAAACTGGGAAATGGTTTACGCAAATATTTTAATCGGCCTCGGCTGTGTTATCGTGGCAGTGGCAACGGCCATCTACCTCCAGCGGCCCAGTTACGAGGAGCCCCAGTCTTACCGCCAATCGGCCAGGAATGACAGCTCTAAAGGCCCCGACAGCAATGTGCGCAGGAGACTCAATGATCAACGCACACGAATCAGGTTGGTTCAATCGAACAGGGTTCCAGGCGCCTGAGCTCAATTGTCTTTATTTTATTGCAGCCGGCCGGGTGACAAGTGCCCCGTGTGCCTGGAGGAGATGAGTCAAGACAATATGCACTCTCTGAAGTGCGGTCATGCAATGGATAAAGAATGCTTCGAGGATTATCGCTTCATTTGCAGGAACTGCCCTCTTTGCGGCCAGTGCGTAAATCCCACTTTGCCCGGTGATCAATGCTCTATTTGTTGTGAGATACTGAAGAAGGACGATATGGCATTTATGCCTTGCCTGCACGCTCTGCATGGCGAGTGCCTAAGGAAGTTAAAGGAGAGCGGAAGCCCATCCTGTCCGCTGTGCAGGGAAAAACTGTAGGAGTGCCACATATCTTGCGGAGATCTTCATCTACAATCAAAGCAGAAAATGAATGCAACCACAAATATTATCAGGTGCAAGGCACTTGGTGCACAAAGAAAATTTAATAACTAACAAAGAAAAGCGATAAGCAATATAGGAAAGTCTGTCTTAGCGTGTAATTGTCAAACGTTTTTGTTTAATAAACAACAAAAAATGCCTTAAACAAATGCCTCTAGTACAGGTGCCGCAATCAGTCGCCAGCTCTCCCGCCAGCGTAGCTCCTGGAACTGTTGCAGGCTGCGCTGGAAGCCGGCTCGCGTCTCCAGGATACTTGGATTTTTTGGAAAATGCTCGAACCAGATGCGCAACTGCTCGGCCAACTGAACATGGTCCCCAAATACAAAGCCATTCTCGCCATGTTTAACCAGCTCGTCTAGGCTGCAAAAAAAAAAGATTGAAGATATACTTAAAATATATGATTCAGTCAAGCATTTGTATATAAATGCAAACGATATAAAATTAGGGCTTTTTGGATTTGTTTGTGTCTGGTACGCACCATTTAAAATCGTACGCGCAGACAGGTAGGCCACTCCCGAACATGTCGACCACCTTCATGGGCAAGTCCAAGCCACTTGTGCTCCAGTGGAGGCACACGCCAAGATCGGCGCTGGCCAGCACAGTGGGATAGTCCTCGATCTCAAGCCAAGGCGTGATTATCGACACCTTTTGCCACTTCAGCTGGGCGATCTCGGCCACGTAGTGCTCCTTCTGCGGTCCCTTTCCGGTGATAATGCACAGCAGAGACGGATACACCAAGGGTTCCGCTTGTGCCGTCTCCTCGTAGGCTTGCAAGGCCTTTAGAAGTATCCCAAAGTCCTCGTCGGGCGTCCAGCTGGTACTGGAAACCAGAACTGCCTGTCGGTGAGGTTTGTATTGCACACTACCGTTCGCGAGCTTCTGGGTAAGAGCGGTGGCCTCCAGCACACCGGACTGTTCAGAGTCCTGGGCCTGGAATTGCGGGTAGTCTTGAGCCAGCTTCAGGAAGAGCTCGTGCTTGTGAGGCAGGTCGATGGGATGAAATTGAGCAGGCGCGCGATCGTACAGAACGTTTACGGGACTAAATGATGGGCCATAGATTTAGTAAAGTACTATAAACAAATGATTTTGCAAAAACATACCCAATTCCCCAGTTCTGTTGCAGATCCTCCTGCATGGCCCGCGTCACACAGAAGTGCGTGTGTGCCTTGGAGCCGAAGTAGCGCTCCAAACGTCGCACCAGCCGGATCAGCGGACTATGCTCCCCGCCGGACATTCCCAGCGCCAGCACTGTGTACGTGTAGTTGTGCCAATCGATGGCCAGCTTGGTGCGGGTGAGGGCGCAGTACAGGTAGCAAACGATCAGCGTGGGAATCCCTGGCGGATTCTGGACTAGCAGGAAGCTGGGTCGCCGTATCGATATCAGGGCCATCAGCAGACTAAGCGTCTGCCAGAAGGCCTTGAAAAGCAGGCGCAGTTTGGGCGTGAGGTTTGTCACTGGGACGGCAGTCAGTTCGTGGATTCGACAGCGGGGCGACTGGGCAAGTGCATCCAGGGGCCGCGTCTCCAAGTAACCGATGACGTCCACGTGGTAGTTGTCCTCCAGGAGACTCTGGGCATGGTACTGCATCCGTGGACTGCGTCCGATGTCGCCCAGAACGATGACGCAGGCGTTGCGCTTCTTGGGCGGCACTTCCGTCATCGCGGGGTAGGGAAAATACGTGGTTTATCAATATAGACGGCAATTGCGTGTTTTGTTTGTGGTTGATAGGTTCCACAGCTAGACGCTAGACGAACTCGGTTTTCGTCCGCTAGAGGCGCTTTCGCCTCTCTCGCTAACAGAAGTGCGTAACAGAATTTCTTTTCGATGCACCCTCCTAAATAGTGAATACACCCTCCTGACCAAGAGAGTACATCCTCCTGAATTAGCGAAGACAGAACTTTAGTAAGTACACAAGCCACAGTTGGCAGGGAAAGGCTCCATAAAGCGGGATTTTTGAATATAAAAATCCTCATTGAATGATTTATATTTATAAAACGAATTATTAAAATTATTACAAAAAAAAATAATAATAATTTCTTAAATATATATTTCACGGTGGTGTTTATATAGAATCTGATAATTAATATCAGATGCTAATTTAAAAACTTAGTTCGGCATCGATATAACACTCAACATCGATATTATCAAGAACATCGACAAACTTCTTTAAAAAGATATCGATGTTCGATGAATCGGTATTTGTACCATCACTACTCCAACTCACTTCAAAACAAAAAAAAATTCGAAATCGGGCGGTTGTGTTGTCGCGCTGCGCAAAGCAAATTCCGGATTCGTTCGGACTTCAACTAACGGCCCGTGTGAGCGGCACTTTTCTAACGGAACATTAAGCTCTGTGTTTATGTGTACATGTGCGCGTGTGCGTCAGTGTGTGTTTACCCACAAAGCTGGGCTACAATATTACAAGCAACTAATGCTAAAATAGAGAAAATTTAAAATAAAAAGTAAGTGCTAAAAAACAAAGAGTAAGAACTGAAACAGTTTCATATCGTGGTTAACCATTGGACTTTTAGACCTGCAAAAACGCCGGTGAGTAAAATCAGGAAAAGCACTCCAACTGCCGTTATTTTACGCATTTTCGCCGGCAAAACAAGCCGGTTTTCCACCCTCCAATTGGCGCCTGTCTGGTTGACTGTGTGTGCGTCTGTGTGGGTGAGTAGGTGGATGTCTATCTGTGTGTGGGGTTATTTCAAGCCATCGAATGTCGATGAAGTGGAAATGCAAATTTTTCGTACACCACACATTACAATTTCCGAACTTCTTCAGGTTTTTTTTTCCGTTTATCCATTTTTATGCGCATAGCATTTATGTAGTGCTATCATAAAATTTGTCACACGACTGTCTGGGATTTATCCGACTTTATCCACAGATGTGGTCAACACATTAATTCAAATTTATCATTTTGTCTTACAGACAAAAGTTCAAACTAAAGATAAATAATAAAAATATTAATAATAGCAAATTACGCCAAATCAACTAAATAAAGTCCAGAAAATGCAAATATCTAAAAGAATTGATATAATCGATAAAAATCCATTATATACTAAAAAGTATATATTGCAAAAATTATGAGAAGTCGAAAGTTTAGCTCGACAAATTGTATTATTTTGTCCACAGCTGTAAGTGCGCTACACGTAGTTTATTCCATTAGGCCCGTCTGCAATTTCTGATCCAGACGCGATACTCTCGCGCATCGTCCTTTTGCTTCCTGTGTCCTTCGCAAAAGGCAAATAGCCAAACTGCCACCCCCAAAGCGGGCGCCGAATGGGGGGTGGTTGCACCGCCTGGGCGTTTGGGTGGGTGGGTTTTCGGTGGGTGAATTGCTGCTGCTGTGTTTCCACGCTCATCTCGTGGGGTTGGCTAGCAAGTTTCCACTCTTGATTTTTGATTTCTGTGCGGCTTTTTATTGCGCTGCAGAAGTTTTTGCGCTGCCGTCGTCCTTTTGCGCTCTTTTTCATTCTCTTTCCGTATGGCAGCATTTGGCATAGAAAAGTTATCCTCGGTCTAGACACGGAATCAAAGGACATTTTTCTTAGAAAGGTTTATGCGGTGGAATTTTATTAAAATCATGATGAGAATAATATTCTTTTTAAGTTAACATTTTTCTGCAAGTGAATACATATAAATCTTTTTATAATAACATATAAAACTCATAAATATAATATATAGTATCAAGCGAAAAACTTTCAACTGTTTTGCAACTTGTTTTCGTATAAACGTGGCTCAATTTTACTAACATGCACCTTTTCTTTTGTGTGTGTTTGCTGTCTGCGACATTTTCTCTTTGCTTTAGCAGGATTAACATTAATTTCATGTTGAATTTATGTCACTGAAATTTGTTTTACCGAAAAAAAAACTAAAATCGTATTTGGAAAATTGCTCTTTTGCAGCTACGCCGGCAGACATATCAAAGCAGGGATTATTTCGGACTGAAAAATTCACTTTAAAGGCGCTCAAGAGTGAAAACCGTGGCAGGTAAGCTTCGCAGGCAATGCGTGTGTGCATTTTGGGTGGAAAAGGGGCGGTCGAGGGAGTGATGCGGTTGGGTGGGTGACTGGGCATGTCGGCAACTCGGGGAGGACTGAAGCAGTCAACCTGAATAGTCGATTATCGCTGCATCTAATTTGTATGCCAAAGCCGTCGAGCCATGGCCCGCATGCAGACCGCTCCAAAGGCTGGCGCGAGCTATTTGAATAATTCGCATCATGGACTTCTCGGATGCCTGGCATATAGTCTCCAAATGGGGCAGATTCTCGGTGCCGGGGATGACAGGGGGAGGGGGCGGGGAACTTGATGGGACGGCGCCGTATGCAGGCAGCTGCATGAGCTTGTAAAATGCCAGCGCACAATGCCAAATATCCTAAACAAACTTCCGCTTCGCAGACGACGAACCGACGGAGAGGTGGCTATAATTAAAAGCGGAGCGAGCGAGAGGCCAACACACGGCAACGGGAAGTGCAAAAGAGTCGGCGATACCGAGGCAAGTGCAATGCATCCAGGCCCCTTTTTCTATTTTCGCTGGTATCTCGCTTGTTTCATTTTACGGCCAAGCACTGAAACACACCAAAGCAAAATAAGGAAATAGGGGATTTACATATGAAGCTATGCCTTACAAATGAAAATATATATAGCACAATATATATAACAGCTACATATGTAAAAGGTTTCTGACTTTGCCAATTAAGGAACTGGAAATGGTAACTCTGACTGACTCGAACTTTGAAATTGGAAGATATCATAGCCTAGACACTTAGCCTAGCCATCACAAATTACTAAACTTATTATTATAAAAATAAATAAACATATTTTGGTTTTTTAAAATTAAAAACATTAAATAAATATCCAGACAATTCAGGCAATAAATTTGACTTTAAAGTAGATCAGTTACTTAGTTCTTTCAGTGCATCTTAAGATCTATTGCTGGGTAGTAAGTGTCTTTGACATTTTCCAAATAACAATCGACAAATGTTCGCTTTAGGGGAAACAGGGAAATTATATGGAGAAATGATTGTTCGCTCTCCTATTCTCTTTCTCTAATTCTCTGACTGCACTTCAATAAATTTGAAGTGCTTTCTCCACGAAGCCGGAGGGGGTGTCGGATGGAGCGAGGGGCAAGGCTAATTGAGTTCAGTTGCCACACGTGACAAACATGTGGAACAAGTTGCGCCGAGATGGTGGACTTCGGGCTATCCAAAGGCAAATTACGCGGACCAATTCAGGTAGCAGAAACCAGAGAGCGAAAGATAAAAGATAGCGAGACGTGGCTCTTCGGGTCAATGACTAGAGTTTATTCCCTTTGTTTAGCAATTCTTCTTCTCAAGAATTTTCTCTAAAGAATGGCAAATAAAGCTTTAAGTGCTACTACTGAATCTTATAAGTGTTTACGTTTATTGTTTATTATACTCTAATTGAGTTAAATGCCAATAAAACAAATAGAACAGCTAACTGAGGCTACATTTTTTAAATTATACATAGTTTTTTAAAAAATACTTTTTTTTAGGATTTTTACATCCTAATTCACCAAACGGGTATCTCAGAGATGCAATTTCCGAGTAGTCTCTGCAAGGTGCTTGAAACTCCGTTAAACTGTCGGATGCAGACGTCCTGTTTTGCGCCAGTCCGAGTTGCAAGTTGCCAGCGGGTCATTTGTGTTGACGCTGTTATCCCCGCACGTGGACACCCGAATGACTGACTGACTGACTGGCAGTTTGACTGACTGACTGACTGGCTGACTGACTGACCGATTAAATGACTGACTGACTGACTGACGGGCACGCAACAATTGCGCCAGCAACAACCAAAGGCGAACACAACTAGAGAAAGGCGAGAGAAGAGGAAGTGATCAACTTCTCCTTCCCGGTTCCTGCCCTCCAAATTTATGCAGTCCCTCCAAATGGAGGAGGTCATTGGGGCGGAGGAGCACCGGGTGACTGCCCTGGGCAGCGACAACTGCAAAGTGTTATTAAGTTGAGTTGTTGTTGTCGCCGTTGTTAATGCTGCTGCTGCTGCTGCCATTGTTGTTGTTGTTGTTGTGCTGCTACTATTACGCTGGCTCTTTTGCAGTGAGTACAGTGAATTGTCGCGAAACAAGTTTCTGACTTTTTGGAAAGGGAGTGAAATACACCTGTAAACACAACATTGTCTGTAATTGTATTTTTTCAACCACTTTTTATCCTGCGAGATTTTTAGCACGATTGTAATAAGGTATTCAATAATAAAATAACTTTTAAGAAATTAAAGTAAATAGGGAAACAAAGTTCTATTCAATAAATAAAAACCCAAATTTGTATAATTTTTTATCGTTGAAAATAAGTTATTTTATATCTTCATGGTTAAAGAAGTTGCGATTGTTCGGGGGAATGCAAAACTTTTGACCCCCGAGATGAACTTCGAGTTAGTGAAATTGGACTGTATATTTGCGTTGTCACTGCTCTTTCTCATTGTTGGCACTCGCTTTTGCTTGTTGCCTTTGGGCAATATTTTGCACCTTTTACGTTTATTGTGACATTATGCTTTGAATAATGGACGACACAAAAACAACAGCAGCAGGGCAAACATTTTTTAGAAGGCAGTGTTCCTGCGGAAGGGGGGAAGGGGCGACTTTGTTGGGTTAGTGCCTGCCACTTTCCTTGTGTATTTTGCATCCTTTTTACATTATGTTTTGATTAAAAACTGAGCCACAGCTTCGCCGCAGCAGATGGCAAAAATAAGAAGAAAAAAACCAACTGAATACACAGAGAGAGAAAAATCACGAGAAGTGCAAACAAAAGGCCCGAGAGCAAGGCAAAGGCAAACAAAACATAACAAAGTGCGGTGTGCACGGAGTTCGGTCAAGGAGAGGGGGCGTGGCAGTCGCTGGGGTGGTGGGCGGTGGGCAGTCGGTGGTGGGCGGGTAAATAGCTGCCACTGCGGCGGTCACTTTCAGGACATCAGAGCGAACAAAATAAAAAATACTGCGGCTAAGTGAAAAAATGCTGATTAAAATGACCGAGACCAAGAGCCAGCTTGTGGTTCTCGGAAATTTATTAAAAAGGAAAATCCGGAGCGAAAGATGACATAACATGAATTACAACAAAAAAAAAGAGGAATATAATCTGTGTTTCTACTTTAAATATCTTCATAGCTGCTGTGCAAATAACTCAAATGTCATTTTCAAATATCTCGATGACAGCATCAGTGGGTCTTTTGTCTGAATTTAATTAAAACGTTCTGTCTAGCATGACTGCATGGAAAAATGTATGTGCGTATACTTAGTGGATTAATAATGATGAGCTTTCAGAGTTGATTCTATGGTAAAAATAGGTACATCATTTAAAGATCATTCTGGACTATCTACACAATAACTTTCTTAAACTTCAAGCGTCTTCCCTACTTTTCTCTTGTTTTTATTTCAACCATAACACATCTTGTTTTTATTTGTTTTTTTTTAATAAAAAGTTGCTGCCGGCAATTTGTTGGGTCATGTTTGTTTTCAATGTTAACCGTGTACAATCGACTTTTAATGAGTCTTACTTGTTGGCTATGTTAAACATAATTTCTTTTGTTGGCCACAACATTTTCATTTTTCATTTCATGCTTTGGAAACCAATTAAAAGTATCCCCCAAAAAAAGCGAGGTGAACACGGTGTTACATGTGCCAGGACACGGGACTTGGGGATATAGGATACAGGACACGCTTGCCTCGGCTGAGCCGGTGGCTTGTCACACCTCCCATAAAAAAACGAAGGGAAAAAGAGCAGCGAAACCTGACTCCTCTGCAGTTGGTAAACTCCGCTCGCCGCAAAGTGAGTGAGTCATTATGGTGGCAACAGGGGGTTTTTGTGGCTAGAGGTTTGCACCGGGGAAATACGGGGAAAATACGAGAAGAGGGGTTTGACGTTGGCGCCTGTCAGTTTTCGCAAATGAGGTTGGCCCATCTACCCAAAAGGATGTGTAGCTGCGTGTGTTTTCGGGGCAGCTGCATTGTCGGGCAATTAAGCGTTGTCTCTCGCTGAAACTAAGCTCATCGCACTGAGAAAAACTATTTGAAGATGGTTCCCACTTACCTTTAATTCAAGTTCAGAGCTTTATATAATTTTATGTAATTTTAAGGACTTATACGTTTAAAACCTGAAAATAATAATGACATTATCCTCATTATTACATTATTTTAAATACCCATATGGTTGTTTCTCTATTTGGAATAAATTCAAATTCAAATTATTTAATTATTGATACATACATTGGTCAAATCTTAATGTTTAATTAAAGATCTTATTCTACTAATTTACTACTTTCCCTAAAGAGTGAACTTCTTTTATTACGAAATACGTAAATAAGAATAACGATTTCTCTGTAGAAAACATGTCTTTATTAGATCAACTTGTTTAAATTAACAAAATGAATGGGAAATATTTTTCACCAGTGGGTGGGGAGGTGGCAAGATGTGTCTATTTCATTCGTTCTACCTCCTCCTTTCCCCTCTTTTTCACTTTAGCAGCTTCAATTTGGGTTCATTGTCGTTTCTCGTGGCTTGTAATCAAACAAATGACTGTGCCCAGGTGTTGCCGCAGGCGGTGGCAACACCCACCCACTCCCACCCACTCTGTGTTCCGCCCCCTCTTAAAACTCTACCTTGTTTCCTTACAATTCGGAGGTATCCCTATGCCCTCAAAGCTCCTTTCATTGCCTGTCAGTCATTGGGTTTTTGGCTTCATTTTGCCCTTAACGTGCGTTTGCCTTCATTATTGGCTTTTGGCAGGCTCTTTTCTGCTCCTCCTCGTGAGCCGCATATGCCCCTCTTTCTTCTTTCTTCCCTCTTCTCTCTTCCCTTTCTTCCATTTCGTCCCCCTCTTTACTTTTAATGATGCGCAATTTGTCGTTAATTTTTTGGGCATTTTGTTTTATGTATTATTTTTGCTTCTCATCGCTTTACAGCTGAGTCTTGCTTCTATCACTTCCTGGTTCTTGGCTTCTACACAAGAAAAAACATTAAA